AGGGGAATCATCCTTATAAAAGTCCAGCAAGGGGGGAATCCTTGTTTCTCTCCCCCCCGCACCCCCCCTTCCCCCGCAAGCCCGCATCAAAAGAAAAGAGCGAGCGTCTCGTTAGGACACCTGCAAGACGCCCAGCCTCCGCGGCGGATCTCTCCACCTTCACACGCTTCCACAGGCCGGACCCGGGTCGGCCGGCCGTCCGTCGGGGCGGGGGGCTGTGGGGGAGGGACAGTGGGGGGGGGCTGAAGGCGCACCTTTCCTCTCCCTCCTCCTCCTCCTCCTCCCACCCACCCACCCCCCTTACCTCCAAGGTGCGGATCTCCTTCTGCGTGAGATCGTTGGACGTGGCGCATTTGGTGCGCAGCCCCTCCAGGTTGGCGATGCTGATGTCGATCATGTTTTGGACCAGCTCGCACTGCTGCAGCGCTTTCTGCAGGCTGAGAGGCGGCGGCGGCGGCGGCGGCACAGCGGCCTCGTCCATCGCTCGCCCCCCGGCCGCCGCCACCACCGCCTCCTCTTCCTCCTCCTCCTCTTCCTCCTCCTCCTCCTCTTCCTCGCGGATCAGAGGGACGCAGCCGCCGCCAGCGCTGCAGCCGGTGCCGCCGCCGCCGCCGCCAGCGGCCCGCTCCCCCCAGGAGGCGGCGGCCCCGCGGCCGCCCCCTCCTCGCCGCCCCCACCGCGCCAGCCCTCCACCTGGGTGGCCGGCCCGCCCCTCCGGCCGCTGCCCCGCGATCCTCGCGCTCCCCCGCCTGCTGCGCGCCCGGCAGCGGTGCAGCCCCCCCCTGCTCGGGGAAAGGGCGCGGGAGGGGGGGTCGCGCTGCAGCCGCTGGGGGTGGGTGGGGGGGTGGGGATGGGACCCCGAGGCTGCACCGGAGTGCGAGGGGCTGCGCGCTCTCCCCCTCCTCGGCTCTGCCTTCCCCGTCGGCTTGCCCGCAGCAGCGTCCGCCCGGCTCCCGCGCGCCCGCCTGCCGCCTTGTCGATCGCGGGGGCGCGCAGCGGCGAGGCGGGGAGGGCTCCTCCTCCGCGTCCCCGCCAGGCAAGGAGGGCTGCCCGCCGCCTCCAGCCAATTGCCTCGCAGGCGGGGCGCCTTTCCAGCCGAGCTGCTCTCTCTCTCCCCCCCTCCTCCCCTCCGCCTTCGAGGAAAGGGGTCCTGGAAGCATGTGCAGAGTGTCCTCCTTGGCCCGCAGGCAGCTTGGCGCTGGGGGACTGGAGAGCGGGGTGGGCGGTGGGCGGTGGACCTCTTTTTATGGGGCGAGGAAGGACCGGGCTGAAGGAGGGGGGGGTCCTGTGGGTTTCGTTTTGTTACAAAACTACACCTCCCACCGGCCTTCCCCTTTGGGCAAGCTGGCTGGGGCTGCTGGGAGTTGTGGTTCAGCGACTCCAGAAGACCAGGGGTCTCCTGTCGGAATGAGTGACAGCTTGGAGTTCCAAGGGGACTGGAAAAAAAAAAACGGACTTGTGACGGCCCCAGCATCTCCCACCCCAGGGTCATGTGATCAGGAACCAGGCCCTTGACAACCAGCTTGTGTATATATGACAGGGGCGGTGTCTTGGGATTGTGTGATCACCATTTGCAACCTTCCCAGTTGGCTTTCGACAAGCAAAATCAAACGGGGGGGGGGGGAGAGAAGAAAGCTGGATTCGCTTAACAACTGCATGACTTGACAACAACTGCCGCAATTCATTTAACAACTGTGAAAGAACAGGTTGTAAAATGGGACGTGACTCACTCAACAACTGAGCAATGGAAATTCTGAAAGCCAATTTGGTCATAAGTCAAGGATTACCCCCAGAGATCGTGGGCGCTCCATCACTGGAGATTTTTAAGAGACTGGACATTCACCTGTCTGAGACGGTATGGGTTCTCCTGCTTGAGCAGGGGGCTGGACTAGAAGACCTCCAAGGTCCCTTCCAGCTCTATTCTATTCTATTCTATTCTATTCTTCTATTCTTCGTATTCTACAGAGACTTGCAACAACACTTTGAGATAGGACTATTTCCAGAAGATGCTGGCAATCCAACTAGACCCCTGTGGAGATCCTCAATCATCCAGGTTGTGGTGGTCCAAAAGATGCTTTTCCCCAAAAGGCAATTGGACTTTTCCCTTGAAAACATTTTGCTTCTTGGATGAGAAGAAACGTCTTGGATGAGAAGCAAAACATTTTTCAAAGGGAAAATAAAATAAAACCCAGAAAGTCCAGTTGCCTTGTAGAAAAAGCACCTTTGGACTGGAACCAGACTCGCAACGTACACATCCGTACACATCCGGCCAATAAACAAAATTGTCTTCTGTCTCTCGAGACAGATGAAAGGGAGACCTAGAAGGGTCTGCTGAACAGGTGGAAAAGGGATTATATCTACTCTGATCACTAACAGACTGCAAGAAGAATGAACCTTGGACTCTCTGGATGCAAAGCAGGTGTTTTGCCACGGAGCCACACCCCTTCTGGTGGCATCAGTTGCAGGTGAACGCTTCCACTGGAGGCTGAGAGGCCCAGTTCCGCCTCGGACAGGTAAAGACATGAGTGGAACTGTGCACATTTCACCTACCCCAGAGGTAGGCAATCTTGGCTCTTTCATGACTCGTGGACTTCAACTCCGAGAATTCCTGAGCCAGCCACGTTGAAGGGAAAGGGAGAGGTTTCCAAGCTGAGCCATGCTGGCTCGGGAATTCTGGGAGTTGAAGTCCACGAGTCAAAAAAGAGCCAAGATGGCCTACCCCTGAACCCCAACCTGGGACCTTCCTAACATGCAATTCTCCTAATTCCAGAGTTTCGACAAATCAGAGCGAGGATATAGCCCGTTCTTAGCAGAAAAGAAGGATTTTTCTGCTTGCAAACACTCTTCTTAACAGGGTGGGAGAAGCGCAGGCCGAAAAATTCCATCCGTTCTTCCAAGCCCTGTTTTAATCATGGTTTGCTGCCTAAAACCACAACGGGCTGGACTTGAAGGCCGTAACAGTGCTACATTTTGGCTTCGTGTGATGTCTAAACCCGATCTGCATAATCGCATCACCGCAAAATTGCTCCTGCCGAGAGCAAAGGTGGCCCTTCTTTATTGAGCAAATGTACTCATTTAAAAATCTTTATAAGCCCTCCGCCACCACCTCCAAAAGCTGACATTAAGCTCTCAAGACATTCATACCATTCTCAAGGGGGCAGCTACTTATTATGGGAGGAACCCATGCTTACTCTTTATTCCCTATGGACCTCCATTCAGTTTACGTCTCCTTGGTCACCCCTGGCATACACAGGTAGTCCTCAACTTACAACCATTTGTTTTGTGACTGTTTGAAGGTTACAAACGCCCTGGAAAAAAAAGTGACTTCTCGCCGTTTTTCACACGTATGACCACTGCAGCATTCAGCAATGAATGAACATCGGTATGTACAATAACTAAATTAACAAGATTGCGGATGGGGAGGAGAAGCTGCCTGACTCTTACTGGGTCACTGCAAGATGGAAAAATCAACATGGCACACTTTTCTGCCTGAGGATGAGAGATATTCTTATTCCCTAAGGAGGCTGAAGCAGTAGGTGTAAATTTAAATGAACTCCAGAAGATGGTAGAGGACAGGAAGACCTGGAGGAACGTTGTCCATGGGGTCGCGATGGGTCGGACACGACTTCGCAATTAACAACAACAACAACAAAGGAGGCTGGCTGGGGAATTCTGGGAGTTGAAGTCCACAGGTCTTAAAGTCGCCAACATTTGGGCATCGCTGCTTTAAAGAAAGACCCACAAATTGCGGAAGGATTGCACGTTAAGTCGATACAATCTCCAACCGACTTCTCTTTTTAAGCCTCAAGTTTGAAGGCTCCCTCCCGTCGGCTGCTTCATCCAAGGGATTTATTCATTTCCTTGGTAAATAAAGGAGCAAATGAGTCAGAGTAAGACAGGCTTACATCCAAGAAAACTCCTTCTCTCACTTCTAATACATTCTTATCTAACATGTGCCTGGGAAGCCCGCAATCGTATCTTAGCTGAGAGAGATACCAGCATGTCATCGTTTCCCCGTGGAACATTTCTTGCCAACACTGAAACTTTAGTCAGAATTCGGTGTAGGAGGGTAAGGTGACTGAGCTGTGTTTGTGGAAATTCTCAAGGAGACACTAAGCTTTGAGGTTGGTTTTTTTAAAAAATAAAATAAAATAAATGTGCTTGTGGTTAGTATGAACTTTCTGATTAGAGGTCACACAATGCAAATATAGTGCCTTGTCAAACATGGTATTCTGTTCACCCCGTCAATGCGGTTAGAAAGAAAAAAGAAAAAAAAAACTTTGAGAGAGATTATACAAAGCAGGAGAATGAAAATTGAGAAAGCATTATAGCATCTTTCTTCTAAGGAAAAGCCTGAGCATCTGGATTTGGGAAGCAGATAAACTTCTCTGTCGGCCTGAGGTCATAACCCATGACCGTAGGTGGTCCTTGACTTACAACCATTTGTTTAGTGACTGTTCTAAGTTACAACACTGGAAAAAAAAAGTGTCTGACCGTTTTTCACACTTAACAACCATTGAAACATCCCCATAGTCATGTGATCAAAATTCAGATACTTGGCAACTGACTCACATTTATGATGGTCCCGGGATCACGTGATCCCCTTTTGCAACCTTCTGGCAAACAAAGTCAACAGGGAAGGAAGATTCACTTAACAACCGTGTTACTCACTTAACAACATCAATGATTCCCTTAACAGCTGTGGCAAGAAAGGCCATCAAATGGGGCAAAACTTTTAGCCACAGAAATTTTGGGTAATCAAGGACTACTTGTATTTTATCTGTAATCCGAAGAACAAAAACACCTGGACTTTTTACTTGACTGTATGTTGTGACACTTACTCATAACAATACTTCTAGTGTTTGTGTGTGTGTGTGCGGGTGTGTATCTTGCTTCAGATGATTCATATTCAAATGTGACATAAATTCAGACCCCAAAGATTGTGCCAGAGCGAGTTCTGAGTAACATGTGCTTTCGTTCTGCATGTAAATTTCTCTTACCGTATCTGTAGCAAAAAAAAAATGCTGTCTGGGTTTTACTGGTGACTTCTTCACTTTTGTTCGCTTGGTCGATTTTCCCATTCTGTTTCTCCACCGTGTGACAATGTCCAAAAGGCTGGCACCTGGAAGAAAGTGGAAGATTTTTATGCAGTCCATCTTGGGTTGGGAATAAATCGCTGGGGCCATTAATCTTATTAACCTCTAATGTGCCATTTTATTTGGGCAAATTCCAGGAGACAGTGGAAGAAGGGGGAGGGGGCTGGGGTCCATGGGGTTGCAAAGAGTCAGACAGGGCTTAGTTACTGAACAATAAGGGGTTAGTACGTTGTGTGAACTTATCTGCTGAGGTTCGTTCACCAGATTTAAGGGTGTGTGAAGCCAGTTAACTGACTAGAACTTAGAACATAGACTCAAAGGGCTGGAAGGGACCTTGGAGGTCTTCTAGTCCAACCCACTGCCCAAGGCAGGAGGCCTACCCCAGTCAAATGGTTGTCCAGTCTATTTTTTAACACCTCCGGTGATGGAGCACCCACATCATCTGGAGGCAAGCTATTCCATTGATTAATTGCTCTGTCAGAAAATTTCTCCTTATTTCTAGAGATTGTATCTCTCTTTGACAAGCTTCCACCCATTACTTCTCATCCTGCCCTCTGGTACCCAGCCTAGAGAGTAAGTCAATCCCCTCATTTTGTGACAGCTCCTCGAGTACTAAACAAACCATGGTTTAGCATAATGTATAAATGCAGTCAGTTGCAGGCTTAGCAGAGATTTTAGCAATAAAAAGCCCTTTGGGGCAGAAGTCTAGGGTCCCATTGAGGAGAATGTGCAGTACACAAGTGACCCTCCATGTACCAGGAAGGTTTATTCCATAGTCATTATGTAAACCTGCAGGCTGGGAATTACAAGAGTTGAAATCAAGGGAACTAGAAACATGTTGCTTTTGTCAATAGACAAAAACAAAAGCTCCAGGATTTTGATACATTGGGCACTAAGCTGTAGCACACACAAATGTAAACAGGAGAATTTTAAACATAGTACTTAAATGTTACCTTCAAGTATGTTTATTATTGCAATAACAATTTACAGTGAAAATAGAGGAAAGAAGCAGGATCTGTTTAGTGTAAGGATTGTCTGATACTAAATTGTAACATGGCCGTGCAAATAAGAGGGAGGAATTTTAACTGTACTTAGAAGTTGCCTTCAGGCATTTTATCATTGCAAATAATGTTTCAAGGCTTCCAATTAAATCCTGACTTAATTTACAATCAAAAGGGGAGCCGTAACTTTGAATCAAGAGAATTAAATTAAGCCTGACTCCTGGTACACAAATTCTTGGAAGTGTTGGAATATTCTGCTTGAACAAATCGACACATCACTTAAATAAAGCTGAATTGGTATCATGATCTTCAAGCGTGCTTAAATCACCTTTTTCACAGACCATGTCCAGTAAGGGTTGGGTTGAAACGTCTTAAAGTTGGAAAGGCAATATTTGGGAGGAGATACTGACTTTCTGGGTTAGTTACACTATTTTGTTAATCCGTGTTTGGATACGAGGTCAGACTTCAGCTTGTGAAGGTGGGGTTAAATTACACCCTGAAAATGTGGATTTCACCAAGAACTCTGGGCTTATTCTGCAACGGAAAAGCATGTTTTATTCCAAAAGAAAAACTCCGCTCCACCTTATTTTCAAATCCCCAACAGAGGACCTGGGTCAGCTCATACGCAAACTGGCTTTCTGTCCACGTAATGGAAATGCCAATTAATATTTCTCCCTGGATTCAATATTCATTTTGTGCTGTAAGAACAGAGTTTTCAGTTTCATGGCTCACGGCCTTATTATTGGGCTTGCTCATTACTGTTTTCCTTTTTTTTTTTTCCCTGCCTTCTTTTTTTTTTTTTTTTCCAAGAAGGCTCCACTTTCTTCTCTTCCCATCTTATTTGTTGTGGTTATTATTAAAGCTGCTAAAAACTGAGGAGGAGAAGAAGAAGAAAAAAAAAGTCACCGGCTCCTCACTTCAAGGCCAGGTTTTTCCGGTAACGGCATGGAGGTGGTTGGCGTTGCTTTCTACTGCACCCGCCATCTTTTTTTTTTTTAAATAGAAGGCTGTTCTGGGATCTCCTGGTGGTCTCCCATCCCTCGGCTCAGCCTTCAAGCCCAAACAAGACGCAATGCTTGCATAGCAGGGCACCCAGGAGGCGGCTGCCGGGCGTCAGGGCCTCCAAAGTCGGGCGTATGAATCGTTACAGCCCGCCACAAGCGACTGGGAAGCGAGGGCAGCTTAGTTTGTGAGGCCGCGGCCCTCTCCGTCCGTCAGGTTTCAGTGCAGGCCGCTCCCCTTAGCGACCATCCGAAGAGGCCTTAGCAACGCGGGCCGAGGCGGAGCTCCCGCGCGGAGCTCTCGCCCCTCCTCTCGCGAGAGCAGGGCGGGCCAGGGCGCCAAGCGCGAAATTGCGGCTGCGCGGAGTTTCCGGGGAGAGAGAGAGAATGGAACGTTCGGCGGAGGCAGCGGCGGCGACGGTGGCCGGGAGGAGCGCGAACTTACCTTGGTAGAGGGAGAGGGAAAAAAAAAAAAAAAAGGAAAAGAACGGGCGGGGGAGAAGATGCTCCGTTGCTAGGAGACGGGCTGGGTTCCTCTAGTCTAGGCTTCTGCATTCCCTTCTAGGGGGCGGGGTTTAGCGCAGAGGTATGTCCTGGCATGCATTCTGCAAAGAATGTGCTTCTGAGCATGTGCAGAGCGTTGCTCTAGCTTCCGGACTGGGGCTGGGGTGTTTTATGCTATGCTTGCAAAAGCTGCCGGGTGTGGGGGGCTTGCAATAGGGCGCCAGGAATTGTTTAGAGGGTGCATCATCCTTACCCCCCCCCACCCGTAAAGGGGCATTTTGCACAGAGATGCAAGACAATAGAATAATAACAGTTGGAAGGGACCTTGGAGGTCCTCTAGTCCAACCCCCTGCTCAGGCAGGAAACCCTATCCCATTTCAGACAAATGGCTGCCCAGTCTCTTCTTAGAAACCACCAGTGATGAAGCATCCACAGCTTCTGGTGGCAAGTCGTTCCACTGACTAATTCTTCTCAATGGCAGGAAATGTCTCCTTCATTCCAGGTTGCTTCTCTCCTCGGTTAGTTTTCCATCCGTTGCTTCTTGTCCTGCCTTCAGATGCTTTGGAAAATAGGTTGACCCCCCCTCTTCTTTGTGAAAGCCCCTCAGATATTGGAAGACTGCTATCACGTCACCCCTGGTCCTTCTCTTCATGAAGTCGGAGCCAGCAGCAAATGGGTGGGGAAGGGTGCTTGAGGACACCAGAAAATGCACCTCTGCTGTTTCTTTGGCTTTTGGTGATGCCCTTTTATTTCTGCCACCATCTTGTTGCACGGGGGAGAGCTGGGCTCCCAGCAGAGTGGCAGGCTTGAAGCTGGAGACTTTCGGTCCCTATGTTCCAGCATTAACACAGATTAATGTTCCATGTGAACCACAGCGCTGAAAAAAGTGACTTCTGACCGTTTCTCACACTTAAAACCGTGGCAGCATCTCCGTGGTCACATGATCAAAATCCAGACGCTTGGCCATTGACTCACATTTATGATGGTCGCAGTGTCCCCGGGGTCACGTGATCCTCTTTTGACAAGCAAAATCAAATGGGGGGGGGGGAAAGCTGGATTCGCTTAACAGCCATGTTGCTAACTTCTCTGCACTCTTTCACTTGATCACTGTGGCAGGAAAGGTGGTAAAATGGGCTAAAATTCACTTAATAACTGTCTCGCTTAGCAACAGGAATTTTGGACTCAACTCGGGTCGTAAGTAGACCCATCAGAGCGAAGCAGAGCTGTGCATTTTCTTGACCTCCCAACACTTTCTCTGGAGTCTTTTCCACGACTCCTTTCTCTTTCCTTAGCTCAGATCTTCCAAACAGAAATTAAAAAAAAAAAAAAGTCCCCAGTTGTTGGGAAAGACGGCTTCTCCAGTTGTGAAAATCTGCATTTTTATTCTGATTGACAGGGTAGAGAAGTACCGGCCTCAGACCCTCGGGGATCTGATTTCTCACGAGGATATTTTGAATACCAGTAAGTATTCAATGGCTGGGCAAATGTCCGAATGGATCTTTAACGCCGTGCATCTCCCTCTCCGTTTTGAGTTCCCAGTAAAGGAGACTTCCGTTGCCATCATTCCCAACCTGTATGGACTCTATAATAAAGGGTTGTTAATTATGATAATTAAATTAGCACTGAGTTGCTTTTATGACTCTGCTTGTGGTTGTTGTTATTGCCCCAGTTCTGAAAAAGTGACGCCCTAAAAAGAAACTACGTTTACAAAATAGGCTTTCTTCGTTTTTTCAAAACGTTGTTTTTCCACGTTTTCCAGTCCTGCCGCATAACCTCTTATATTTATTTACTTCCTAATTCTTTCACAGACCTCACCAGATAGATCATCTCCTATATTCGATCAAATCTTTGCTGTTGTGCATCCCTAATGAAAAACCCTGCTGCTCTATGCAATCGCATGTAGATCCTAATTTGCATAAATCTATAAAGGCAGAATGTAACTCTTCCCCCCCCCCCCCGGCCTTTGAGCCTGTCTGCTTCCAGGCCGATCAATAAAGCAATCTGTATTGTTGTGTAATTACATCCTGGTCTCTGGTTCAAATGGACCTCTGGGAAAATTCTGCAAGTTGGTTGAAGGCAAGAAATTCAGTATAGATAGTTGAGCGGCATGGTGAAAAAGAGAGAGATCAAAGAGAGAAGCCCATCTTGAAAACAACCCCCATAGTAAAGCAGGAAGGTGCTATATGCCTAGGGGAAAACACATGTTAGTATTATTATTATTATTATTATTATAGATTGTCGCACAGTCCTCCAGATGTTTAGACTGGATTGGGCATTTTTGTCCCCCTCTCAAGTACCTGGAATAAGCACATGTTGCTTGATATTGATGGTGTTAAAAGGTTGCATCGCAGGATGTCAGCCGTTCCAAGTAAAACTGCCTTTTGCAATTGACCGATGGGGATTCTGTCAATGTCGACAGCCTTCAAGTAGTGCTCCAGCACATGCTCTTAAAATGCAAGCATCTATGAGGGTACCCTAAAATTGGAGGAATACAAAACAAAAAAAAAAACCTTACAGGTAGAACAGAAGTGATGTAAGGACCCACCCGACTTTGCATCTTAAGAAGACAGAACTCTTGGAATAATTCTTCCAACAGGAATCCTTTATTAAGAGAAAATGGTTGCAGGCATGCTAGACAGGACTTGGGGTTCAAGCTCTTCCATTCAAGGTTTTAAGGGGTTCCCCAGTAGTCCCACCCAATCAACCCCCCTTCCAGTGATAGTTTCAAGTATCACAATTCCACCCCCTTTCTTCTTCCGTCTGGATGGAGACTTCAGATAACTACATGAAAGGCAAATACCCTCCTTTGGTATGCTAACGCTTCGAGGTTACAATAAACACACATTCAGCATTCAGCTCTTTGAAGTGTACTGAAGGAAGTGAGGGCCATAAAGCCCCTTTGTTCTCCCCCTTCTCTCCCTCTTATGGCAGAATCCAAAGATGGCAGAATTGGGAGTTTCTATATTTGATAATTAAAGATGAAATATAATTGGATTCTGACAAGTGATTTGTAAGCCAAGCTAAAGGTTTATTGCTTGTCGCTTGGGGCAGTCATACAACGCCATCTCTGCTCTCTCTTCAACCAGTACAGAAGTTTATCAGTGAGGACCGGTTGCCTCATCTCCTACTTTATGGACCTCCAGGGACCGGCAAGACCTCTACGATTCTCGCCTGCGCTAAACAGCTTTACAAAGCGAAAGAATTTGGCTCAATGGTTTTAGAGGTAACCGCTTCTGTGGTCTTAACTAGGCTTTGATTGCTTTTCCAGTGAGTGCAGGCAGCAAATTCCTGCAAAAGCAACAGCACTTAGACTTACATGCCGCTTCACAGTGTTTCACAGCCCTCTCTAAGCGGTTTTACAGAATCAGCACATTGTCCCCAACCATCTGGGTCCTCATTTTACCAACCTCGGAAGGATGGAAGGCTGAGTCAACCTTGATCCGGTCAGGATCGAACTGCTGGCAGTCGGCAGAGTTAGCCTGCAATACTGCCTTCTAACCACTACGCCACCACGGCTCTTATCGTATGTTCCTTTGTTTAGCTGAATGCTTCTGACGACCGAGGCATTGATATCGTCCGAGGGCCTATCCTGAACTTTGCCAGCACCAGAACCATTTTCAAGTAAGCACATCTGAGACTTTTCTGAAAATTGAATTCCTTGGAAAAAGAGAATTTTCTGGCCAGATGTCTGTCTGTCTGTCTGTCTATTGTCTCCTACAACTAGATGGGTTTAATCAATAATCAATGGATATACTGACGTCCACTGCCTTTTAGAGTTCCCAGTTCTTGTTTCTCTGTTGTATTAGGAAAGGTTTTAAGCTGGTGATTCTGGATGAAGCCGACGCCATGACGCAGGATGCTCAGAATGCCCTCAGGCGTGGTGAGTTGATGCCCCGTCCAGAAAGGGATGCTGGGAAGATCAGCAGCACCCAGACACTATTCCGGTTGCGCTTCAGTGGCAGACATCTTGATCTGCTGTCCCAACAGGGTTGCTGATCGTCTGTCTTAATTATAGCCATGAATTTAGTTTTTCTCTGTTTCTACGGGGCATTGAAAAAATGATTTTCTTTTTAGTTCAAAATTCTATTAATTTTAACAAAGCACAAAAGACAAATGTACAAAAAAAAGATGAAGATAAAATAGAATAGGAAAAAGGGGATGAGAGTATAAAGTGTAGGGTAGAGGGGGGAAAAGATGGGGAGGGGAGCGTTGACTTCCAACTCATTTTGGTGCAGTAGAACAAGATAATAACATGAAGCGTTTTACTTTTATGTAATAGTATATACTAGCCGTTTCTATAACACCAAACCTATCTAATCGGCAAAACCTAAAATCGAAGTTTCATTTTTGCCTCCCACAAGCAGCAAGTCCAGAAGAGGTTTCCGAGTGGAAGCAAAATTAATTGTGTTTTCTTTAATCAAAGTGGCCAACTTAGCCATCTCTGCTAACTCCCATCAATGTTTGTAGCCAGCCAGTCGTCTGTTGTGGAGGCTATTGAAAAATGATTTTTATTTTCCCTTCCTTATTTTTCCTACTATTTGTTTTTGTGTGTGTGTTTTTTTTGTTTGTTATAACATAAACTAATAAAACTGTCTAAATTGAAAAAAAATTGGTTTTGGATAAGGCGGCCTCCAAAGGCGTGCCATATAAATGTTTGATTTTTATATCTTTCTCAGTGATTGAGAAATTCACCGAGAATACCCGATTTTGCTTGATCTGCAACTACCTTTCCAAAATAATCCCAGCTCTACAATCCAGATGCACCAGGTTCCGGTTTGGCCCTTTGACGCCACAACTCATGATTCCTCGGTTGAAGCATGTTATTGAGAAGGAGAAGTGAGTAAAAAGTCTCGGGGAGTGACAGCAGGAGTCAAGAGATCCGGCTGTTCCAATTTTCTGGCATCCTAACCAAGATTTCTCTGCAAAGTGTTGCATCTGCTCCGTCAACTCATGGTTGGGAATACCAGTTAGCCTGCTCTGATTAGAAGGACTAGGGCAGTGTTTCTCAACCTTGACAATTTTAAGGCATGTGGACTTCAACTCCCAGAATTCCACAGCCAGCAATGCTGGCTGTGGAATTCTGGGAATTGAAGTCCACATGCCTTAAAATTGTCAAGGTTGAGAAACACTGGACTAGGGGGTGACATGATAACAATCTTCCAATATCTGAGGGGCTGCCACAGAGAAGAAGGGGTCAACCTATTCTCCAAAGGACCTGAAGGCAGGACAAGAAGCAATGGATGGAAATGAATCAAGAGAGAAGCAACCTAGAACAAAGGAGGAATTTCCTGGCAGTGAGAACAATTAAGAGAAGGACTAGGGGGTGACATGATAGCAGTTTTCCAATATTTGAGGGGAAGTCACAGAGAAGTGGGGGTCAACCTATTCTCTAAAGCACCTGAGGGCAGGACAAGACGATGGATGGAAGCTTATCAAGGAGACATCCAAACTAGAAGTAAGGAGAAATTTCCTGACTGTGAGAACAATTAAATAGTGGATTGACTTGCCTCCAGAAGTTGTGGGTGTTCCATCACTGGAGGTTTTCAAGAAGAGACTAGACAACCATTTGTCAGGATGATATAGGTCTCCTGCTTGAGATCTCCCAAGATCCCTTCCAACTGTGTTATTCTGTAGGTGATTGTCCTGCTTTAGTCCTGGGCAGTCGTTTGAAGTTCTATGGGATCCTAAAGCCAGAAAAACATGAACCCCCCCCCCCAGTCCAAAGATAGCAGATGGGCATGATGCTCATCAAACGTTAAAATTGCCAGAATCCTGGGGAAGAGTTGCAGAATGGAAAGAGTCAGGTTTTCATGGTTGTGTGACCTATTGTGTAGATTCACTGGGGGGGGGGGTTTGCGGGAAAAAGCAGGACTCTTGGCGACCTATAGAATTCCTCTCTGCTCTTTCAGTGTTGATGTGAGTCCTGATGGAATGAAAGCCTTGGTGACGCTGTCCAACGGCGATATGCGCCGATCTCTGAACATCTTGCAGGTATGGCGTCCATACAGGTACGGCTTCCTCTTTCTCACCTGCGACTGATGTCAACGCTGCTAACGTCAGATGCTTTTGCTTTGACAACAGTTAGAGATGCAACCATTTTCTCCTTAAGTTTTACTTTTAGAGTTAGATGATGCTATCTATCTCTATATCTATCTATCTATAATTTATCCATATCTATATCTATCATTTATCTACCTATTATCTATATATGTCTATCTACCTATTATCCATATTTATCATCTATCTATCATCCATATGTCTATCTACCTACCTACCTATCCATTCATCTACCAATCATCTCTGTCTATCATCTGTCTACCTACCTATCTACCTATTATCCATATCTATATCATGTCTGTCTACCTATAATCCATGTCTGTCTATCTATAATCCATATCTATCTACCTATTATCCATATCTATATCTATCATGTCTATCATCTATGTCTGTCTGTCTGTCTATCTATCTATCTATCTATCTATCTATCTATCTATCTATCTATCTATCCTTCTGACCTTCTTAAACCAGCAACTGGATTTCGCTAGGTAAACGGCCCTCCTTGAGCAAGCAAAGCTCTGGTTTCTCATCTCTTCCTTCCTCCTCGCAGAGCACCTACATGGCTTTTGGGAAAGTGACTGAAGAGACGGTTTACACCTGCACGGGGCAGCCTCTCAAATCGGATATCGCCAACATCCTGGACTGGATGCTGAATCTGGATTTCTCTTCTGCCTATCGCAGTATCCTTCAAGTGGGAATCAATGTGCAGGTGGCTTAATGGGATGGGATGGGACAGGTTAGGATAAAGGTAAAAGGACTTTCGGGTGCTGGTGTGTCATTTTTTTTTTATTTTGCCAAAGAATTTACTCCAGGAAGGCTGGATGAGACAGAAATTGTATGGCAGCATTTTGCTAATCACTTCTGGTGTAGATGCACATAATATCCTTCAAAGAGGAATCAGTGTGCAGGTGGCTTACTGGGATGAGATGGGATGGGATAGGATTTTAGAAAGAAGAGCAAAAGGATGTTATTTAGAAAGAGAGGTCAAATATATTTGTATTTACAGACTGAGCAACCATTTTCTCTAGGATGGTATGTGGTCTCCTGCCTTGAGCAGAGGGCTAGACTAGAAGATCTCTTAGATCCCTTCCAGCCTTACAATTCTATGTTCTATAACCGCTGGGAAGTATATCAGAAGCCACTTAATATTTTTTTCTTGGTATCTTTTTCCCTTTTTTTCCTACTTTCTTTCATTGCACTTTTAGCTTTTTCTTTGGGTTTTTTTTTTTCCTCCTCTTTTCCATTCCTCTGTTCCATTTTAGCTTCTGTTGGGTCTTATCGCTGCTAGACCTTTCTGTTAAAAAAAAGTCATGGCTCTCCTTGACGTTTTGTTCAGATATCTTGGAACTGAAGACGCTAAAAGGCTTGGCTTTGCAAGACATTCTAACAGAAATTCATTTGTTTGTTCATCGAGGTAAAAGGACTTTGGAGAGCTGGCGTGTCAGTTTTTATTTATTTATTTTGCCAAAAGTTTTAACTCCAGGAAGGTTGGAGGAGACAGAAATTTTATGGCAGCATTTTGCTCACCTCTTCTGGTGCAGATGCATAGACTATCCCGGCTTGCAGAAATTATAACTGAATATCTTTATCTGTGTGTGTGTGTGTGTGTGTGTGTGTGTGTGTGTGTGTATGTGTGTCCATGTGTGTGTGTTTGTGTCAGTAAAATGAGGACCCAGATTGTTGGGGAAATATACTGACTCTTTCAACCTCCCAGAGAGTTGTGTAAAGCACTATACGGTATATAAGTCTAAGAGCTGTTGCTATTTAAAATACAATGAAGGGCAATCGTTTTTGTAAAATGCGGTCTGTGCTCTCTCGTTGTCCTACAGTTGACTTCCCAACATCTGTTCGGATGCAGCTGCTGATCAAGATGGCAGATGTGGAGTAAGTATTCTTTAGTGCATTCCCCCACACACACATCTTTAGGACAATGTAGAGTAGACAGAGGCTAAGATCTTATTGTGCATTGACTTGCAATCTCTAGTAAAAAAAAAAATACACCTGTAATTTTACCTATGGAGTGGCTTGCACAATTTGGGAAAATGAAAGAGAACTAGGGAAGCCTTGGATTCAGTATAAGGTTTCTCTATGCACTGTGATTGAGGCTAGGGAATTCTGGGAGTTGAAGTCCACGAACCTTACAGTTGCCAAGGTTCGTTCAGCCTGCACTGTGAGAACTAGAAGCTTGCTTCCCGACACAAAGCTGAATTTTCCTTATCCAGGAAGCGCAGAGCACCAGCATCACGAAATTGTACAGGATCAAAGTTTGCTGTGTGATTCGCCTTCACGCATTTTCACGCCAACTTGAAGATTCTTTAACACTGTAGGATATTTCTTTTTACAGGCTAAACGTCCTGCTTAAGATGGATCATCTCCTGTTCCGTTGTCTTTCAGACACCGCCTGGCTGCGGGGACAAATGAGAAGATCCAACTGGGGTCTCTTGTAGCTGCCTTCCAAGTGACCAGAGATCTGATTGCAGCCGAGGCTTGACCAAGCTACTCTTCCCGCTGCTTGATCTACAACCTGGGTACCTAATGGTTCTCCTTAACAACTCATCTGAACCATTCCTGTGGGTCTGGATATCCTACATATCCTGGATATGTTCTCCGGATCTTTCAGAAGAACTTAATCCTCTCTAACCAATCTGGACAGAATCAATGCTGGTCTAGATAAACGAGAAATGTTCTTCAAGTTGCCACAGAAGGACTGTTCTCTTTTATTATGTCTCCAGAATCGCATCATTGGTTCACAGCGTCTCAATAGATTCACACTAGCACCTCATTCGATTAAGCTGCACCCCGATCCCCCACCAATCTCGTTTAAAATAAATTCACTTAGATGAAAGTATTTACGTACAATTGTAGAGTTGTAAGAGACCTCAGACCTCATTTAGTCCAACTTCTGCTGAATTCTGTTTAAAGACATCAAGTGATTAGGAGTTGGGCTATTCCACTGGCTGACAGCTCTCATTGTAAGGACATTCCTAAACTCTGCCTCCAGGCAAGATATGGGTCCTCTCTCCCACCATCTGATAGAGGATTCAGATCTCGATCAGGCTCCATCCACAGGATAATTTACACCAGCTGGGCAGGGGGGGAAAAAGCGCCTCTTTTTGACTTCCCTCTGCCCTAAAATTCTTCGCATCCTGTCTGCAATTTCACAAGCTGGCCACTTATTAAAACTCTTTTAACGATGCCATTCGCACATTTCCTCCAGCTAGGGAATTCCTGGGTCCTCCGAAACATCACCCACACTTCTGTGTTTCTGTTCCTAACACAAGAAATCTCCCATTGCTTATCAATCATTGCTCTCTGATCTGCCCGGTGGGGGGGGACCCCAAACTGCTCTGAAATCATTAATCCTAAAATGTACCTCTTGCTTAGTTATTGACAAAGTGTTTCTCTGTTCAAGCCAGCCAAAAAAGCAGAGCTTTTTGATTTCCACAACATGAGCTTCAAAGCTTTATCCAGCAGCATATTGATGCGGGAAAAATTTCCAATTCCACCTTTGCATTAATGGAGAAGACCCAGACCTGGTTTTTCCTAGATGATGGACAATCAGGAACCAAAAGCACTCCGGAATAACCCCCAAAAGTGGCCGCTGGCTGACTAAATAATGACACTCATTGTTTCCTTCTGTGTCCTGAGGTGCTTTTTTTTTTAATTATTTTTTAAACGTCCGAGAGGAAGCTGTGGGTGTCAAGCCCGCATCCCAGTAAATCTAAGTCTGGGAAAGTAACTGGCCAACTTTAGTATGCCCCAAAGCTCTATGAATTATAATTTCTTCCACGCGGCTAGTGCAGAAAAAAGGGTTTGCCAGCAGCATCCTTTGTCCTTTTCTCAGCTACATGGCTTCATCGCTTCACCTCCCAAAGAGTAAGAGTTTTTTGTCTTGCGTGCGCGCAACACCAGGCTGTGCGAGAAACAGACGGAGCAGAGCAGCGTCCCCGTTGAGCCAACATCATAAAGTCCTGTAGGTGAGGAACTCCTTCATCTTCTTGGGAATGCTCAGCGCCTGAACTTGGTAGCTCGTGAAACAGCCGCGAAGGACTTTCCGACATAAGTGCTTCAGAGAAGAGAGAGCTTGTGGAGCTGTCCAAAATTGGGCGTGACCATCTCTTGTCCTGCAACAGGAAGAGGCAGAAAACAGTTCATTCTTAGTCGACGCAGCAGGGGCAGCACAAAGCAAAGTCTCCAACAAATTTAAGCTGAAATGGACTTGATTAAGGTTGGAACAAGGGTCAGCAAGTCCAGGATATCCGTAAAAGAGGCTCTTTGTGGCTCAGGGTTGAACTGTGGGGTCCTTGGTGCTCTCTGAGCTAGATGGTTTTCTTGCAGATGTTTCTTTGCCCAACTAAGTAACATCATCAATGCTAGAAGGGAACGGAATTTATAGAGAGGACTGGGCAAGCAAGTCCAGTTGCCTCATGAAAAAGCATCTTTGGGACTCTTCCCAGGATCATGCAGGCTAACTCTACACTCAAGACAACTCCAAGACACAATTGGTTCAAGCAGCTCCTGGCAGGTGGATGGTTCATGAACATCCCTGCATACTCCATGCAGCTTTTCTTCCAAGAGTCTTAGATCTCCTTCCCAAAACCTACGATTCTCACCCAAAACCTACCCCGTTGCGATGATCCCACCATGTGGAAAATAAGTGCAGCAGAGGCCATTCTTCACAGGAGCAAAGGCCACAGGACTCTCAAGCTCTAGTGCCCAGATCCGGAGGAGCCTGAAGGAGATAAAAAAAAAACGTTCTTGTGTTCCAAAATTGAGCCCAAGAACCTAACTCAATAAATCCAGTCTTCTTAAGCCTCCATATGTTTTGGATCCCCAGGTCCCATCCTTCCTAGCAGTGTGTGGCCTAATGGGACCTGTAAGCCAAACCATCTGGAGAACATCAGCTGACCCAAATGTTGGCCAAAGAACTTCCAGAAGGCTTGACAGCAGTTTATTATTTTTTTGTAAAATGTTTATGATTTTTTTTCCATACAGTTCTATAGTACTTATTCAACAACATGTTATCTGAGTTTATCATTCACTAACACAAATTTAATTCCCAATCCTTTATTTTTTGTCTCCAACCATTGATAAAACAAGTCCCAAATCTGATAGTATTCTGTTTCTTCTTTTTCTTTCGACCTCATAGTAAGTCTGTCCATTTCTGCACAATCTAATTTTTTTTTTAATTATTTCTTCCTCTGGTGGTAATTCTTCCTTTTTCCAATATTGTGCAAATATGATTCTTGCCGCTGTTATCGCATGTAAAATCAGAGATAGATAGATAGATAGATAGATAGATAGATAGATAGATAGATAGATAGATAGATAGATAGATAGATATAGATAGATACTTCGTTTATCAATCTTTTCTGGCATACTACCGAATAAAAAATGGGACCTGTAGGCCAAACCATTTGGAGAACATCAGCTGACCCAAATGTTGGCCAATGCTTGACGGCAGTTGAATTGGGATCTCCAAGAGAACCTTCTTGGTTTTGGACCCCACTGCTTTCATCCTTGTTCAAAATTACATCGCCACCTGTACTTCCTGTATCCCCCCTATTATAGACACAATATCTGGGATGGGACCCATAACAATGTAAACCTTTCTGTTGCACTTTGGAGTCTCTTACCTATCGTCTGCCACTGTGGCAAGGTAGAGGCCCTCAGGTGAGAAGCACACAGACCTCAGAGAGCTGGTGTGGAAGTTCCCACTCTGGTCCACTACAGGTTGCAACGGATGGTGCCTGAGAAGAAGGAAAAACAGGTTGGAATCTTCCTACTAGCCGACTTGGTGACGATCAGCTACTGATAAAAAAAAACAACCCTGTGAAGACGCCCAGCTCAGCCCCTTGCTAAAGCTATCTAAACAGATGCCCATCGTGCCTTTTGGCAGGAGAGCAACAGTTCTCCATCTCCCAGCTGTTTGTAACTTTGAGTCCTCCCAGCTGCCCTGTTGTGGTCTGGGAATGACCACGAAAGAGACAGGGAAGAGCTATAGCAGTGGAACTAACAGATAAGAGTCTGTGGAGATCCTCCATCAACCAGGTCATGGTTGTCCCAAAAGTGCATTTCCTTGTTTTTCTTTGAAGACATTTCCCATCTCATCCAAGAAGCTTCTTCAGTTCCCAAAGGCAACCGGACTTCCTAGTTTTTCCTTGGAGACCTTTCGCTTCTCACCCAAGAAGCTTCTTCCACTCCGACTGGAGGGTGGGGAAGGGAAGGATTTATACTCCTTGCAGACTGCTGGTCATTTGCATCCTTTTAGAGAGTCGTGAAGGCCACCTGGAGGTTTACCTGTATCCTCAGGGTCACCTGAGGGGTGCAACTGGGTGGGGAGCCTTCTTGGCTGCAGGATGTTTTCTGCCTTGGGTCTCTTCCCTGTTGAAGTCAGGCTGTTGGTGACCCTAAAGACACTGAAAACCTCCCGGTGGCCTCAGCGACTCTCTAAAAGGATGCAAATGACCAGCTGTCTGCAAGGAGTATAAATCCTTCCATTTCCCCAACATCTAATCAGAGCTGAAGAAGCTTCTTGGAGGAGAAGTGAAAGGTCTTCAAAGAAAAGCAAGGGCATCCAGTTGCTTCTTGAAAAAGCACCTTTGGGACAACAGATAAGAGGCAGCCTAGCCTGCAGCGGGAATACGGGCACGGCAAACAACTTAGTAGAGACCCTCCCTAGTTTATTGTGATGTAAAGGGGACAGGAGAGAACTGTACAGTTAGTCCATTTAGTTAGTTCGTTTAGTGACTGTTTGAAGTTACAGCGGCACTGAAAAAAGGAACTTAGGACCATTTTTCAGACTTACGACCGTTGCAGCATCCCCACGATCAGGAGATTTATATTCCGATGCTTGACAACTGACTCACATTTATGACAGTGGCAATGTCCCGGGGGTGGGGGGTGGGGTATCACGGGATTTCCCCTTTTGCAACTTCCTGACAAGCAAAGCCAAGGAGAAATCCAGATTCACTTAACAACCATGTTACTAACTTAACAGCTGCAGTGACTCGGTTAACAAATGTGACCCAAAAAAAATAGTCGTAAAATGGGGCAAAGCTCACTTAACCATTTTCTCAGTCAGCAACATCCGTTTTTGGGCTCAAGGTCGGTCGTTAAGACAAGGGTGACCTGTACTTTGAGACTTGCCAGATTCTGCAAATGTAATCTTACACTAAGGTGCAATTAATTCCTCCGGGCATGCTGCTCCCTGTCTGCACCCCCTCCTCACGAGGCATCTCTCCATCCACCTTCCTTACCAAAGGGATCTTAGCTTCTCCCCCGTGCAGGGATCCCAAAGGATCACACAGGTGTCGTAAGAGGCCGTGGCGAGGAGAGCCGAGTCTGGAGAAAAGTCACAAGACGCAACGCAACTTTGGTGACCTTCTAGTTTCCGCAGCAGACGATAGGAACGCATACTCCAGAGGAGAGCCTGGTAGGGTGAAAAAATGACAGAAATAAGGATCGACCTGCCTCCAGAAGCGGTAAGTGCTCCAACACTGGAAGTTTTAAAGAAGAGATTGGACAGCCATTTGTCTGAAATGGTAGAGGGTTTCCTGCCTGAGCAGGGGGTTGGACTAGATGACCTCCAAGGTTCCTTCCAACTCTGTTTTTCTATTATTCTGTAAGAGGGGGGTCAACCTAGTCTCCAAAGCACCAGAAGGCAGAACAAGAAACAACAAGGAGAGAACTAAGGAAAAATTTCCTGACAGAGAGAACAATTAGCCAGTGGAACAACCTGCCTCCAGAAGTGGTGCATACTCCAACACTGGAAGTTTTCAAGAAGAGACTGGATAGGAATTTGTCTGAAATGCTAAAGGGTTTCCTGTCTAAGCGGGGGGTTGGACTAGATGACCTTTAAGGTCCCTTCCAACTTTATTATTATGGATCATCGCAGTCAGCCAGATTGTTCAGACTTCTTCCTCCTCCTCCTCCTCCTCCTCCTCCTCCTCCTCCTCTTCTTCTTCTTCTTCTTTCTCATTATTATTATTATTATCTTTTATTCATTAAACATGAACCTCAGTCAATTATTATTATTGAGGATCATCGCACAGTCAGCCAGACTGGATTTGGCATTTTTGTCTACCTATCGAGTCCTTACTCAGGACCTGGGATAGGCAGATGTGGATGTTTGATGGTATTACAGATAACGTCGCAGGATGGAAGCAGTTCCTAGTAAGACCGCCTTTTGCAATTGACTCATGGCAAATTTGTCAATGCCAATCAGTCTATTATTATTATTATTATTATTATTATTACCAAAGATCTGTAGTACCAATCTCATTTCTCACTGTCAAACAACACCACCCTTTCCGTGTAGGCTTAAACTCACCGATTTCTCTCCAGCCACGGAGCAGAGCATTTGACCATCAGGAGAAATGGAGCAACTGTAAACCCACTGCGAATGTCCAGAAAGCACTTTCAATTGTTTCACTAGGAAAAAAAAATAGAAAAGACGGATGGGAAAGGATTAGAGAACTCGATAGGAAATTTCAATGCCAGGGGGTCCCTCTCCTAACAATGCCCAGCTAGCAGGGCCAACAAGCAGGGCCTTCTACGGTATGTTTCAGGGTAAAATATATAGAAAAATCCCATTGGAGGTGGTGGGGGGGGCAAATCCATGTAGGATTAGGGTTAGGTCTCCATGAATTTGGAGAGCAAAATGGACATCGTCAATGGATTCATAGCACATCAGTATTCTTGGGAGCACACTGACTTTTTGATCTATCTACGTTTCCTGGTAAAATATACAAGGAAATCCCCTTATCTCTCTGGTGGGTCCCTCCCTTTACAGTTAACAGCAATAGAGTTGGGCGGGACCTTGGAGATCATCTAGTCCAACCCCTTGCTCTCTGACTCATGAGCGAGACTATGGTTAAACCTTGGGTGGACCCTAAGGTTTAGCGTCTCTGCCCCTGAAAACCGGGAGCAAAATCTTTTTCCCATCTCATTTCGGTGGTAACCAATCTGGAAACGGTATAAAGCTTTCTCAAAAGACAAAAGTAATGATTTCTTTAAAGAAAAGGATCTATTACAGTAAACCACAGACAATAAATCTTTGGAAGCCGATCCCTGCAGGGATGGGTTTTGGCTCAAAGTTTGACGTTCTTTTGCAAGGATCTTGTTCTGCGGGACTCCTGTTGTTGCAAAGTTCGTTGGCTTCAGAGAAAAACCGGTCCCCAAGTCCTCCAGGATAGCGCCTGGCTGGCTGAGACCAGACTTGGCTTCTTACAATGCTGGAGCACCACTTTTAAAGCCACAAGGGAAAGTTGTCTGACTGACCAGGGACTTCCGCAGCTCACGCTTACCATTTTGACCCAGGTCCCAGATTCGAAGCGTCTTGTCGCGGGATGCAGAAACGAGAATGGACGAGCGGTGGCCGGGCGCAAAGCTCAGATCCCTCACCACGTCTTGGTGCCCCACGAGATTAAAAAGCAGGTTCCCTACCAAGAAGGAGGGGGGAGCAGGCAAAAGGAAAATGAAATGGGTGTGAGGAGCAAGCAGTTTCGGGTTTGCAGGCGTCTTAAATGACACGAGAAGCATCCATAATTTTTCCCTCGGATTGCCTCGGCAAACGAGAGAGGTGGGTTTCCGCAAGGGGTCTGGAAATTCTCTGTTAAGCTTATAAATCTAAATTCAGCTCACCAGTCAAGCTGTTTACTAAGCCCAATGGGGATAGCTAAGTGTTTGAAATAGAAAGAAACGTTTTTTCATGGTTCAGGAAAGAAAAACAGGAAAATGTTGTCATTTTTATCTATTTCAATTCTTGCTGGTTGGATATGTCTCTTTGCTTGCCTGCCAGCCTGCCTGCCCATCCATCCATCCATCCATCCATCATCTTATCTATCAGTCATCTTATCTATCTATCCATCTATCTTTCATTCATTCATCTATCTATCTATCTATCTATCTATCTATCTATCTATCTATCTATCTATAGATCAATCTCTATCATCTATTGTCTATCTCTATATCATCTCTTTCTATCCTATCTACCTACCTGCCTAACTAGCTATAGCTCTATGTATATCTATCAATCATCTAATGCAGTGGTTCTCAACCTGTGGGTCGGGACCCCATTTGGGGTCGAACGACCATTTCATGGGGGTTGCCAAACAAGGCTGTCCGCCATTTGTTCCCCCTTTTCTTTGGCCATGCCCCTGGCACCCGGTGATGTATAAGTGGTTGGGGGTCACCACAACACGGGGAACTGTATTATGGGGTCGCGGCATTAGAAAGGTTGAGAACCACTGGTCTAATCTGTCTGTCTATCTATCTATCTATCTATCTATCTATCTATCTATCTATCTATCTATCTATATCGTTAACATCTAACATCCATCCATTATCTGTATTTATGTATATATACAGTATGCTATCTGTCTCTCTCTCTGTTTCTCTCTGTGTCTCTCCCTTGTAAGTTGAGGATTAACTGTAGCAAGGCAGGATAAAGGAAGCTTCACACATGTAAGCAAATTTGCAAAGATTGCCTTCTGTTTCAGGAAATGAAGCCCATTTACCTGTTTCCACTTCCCAGACTTTAATCTGCCCGTCGTTCAATCCCGTGGCCAGGATCAAGCAAGGAGAACTTTCCTTCCGGTGGCGATACTTGTATGGTGGGGAGGGCAGCCAGGAACTGAAAGCCAGACCCCAGACGATCTGTCCACATTCCAATGTCTTCTCCTTGAGCCCACCGTAACCTTTCGGCTTGGTTTTTCCACCCTGGTTCTTGCATTCCAAAGCTTTGCTGTTACTGCGGTGGAGCAGAACAAAAAAGATCAAAACAGATCACTAAGGGAGAAATGATCTCTTGCTGGACAGCCATTGGTCTGAAATGGTGTAAGATTTCCTTCCTGAGCAGGGGGTTGGACTAGAAGACCTCCAAGGTCCCTTCCAACTCTGTTATTCTGAATATCAGGAGTCCAAAGCACTTGGCAGTCCAAAGCAGCCTTGGAAGAGGGCAGCAGCACGCACACACACACACAAACACACACACACACCCCGTGTGAATACTCACTGCTCAGTCCCCTGTAAAGGCCAAGGGAGCAGCCTGACCACACCGTGGCCCTGTGACCAGGCAAACCAGGTCCCGTCGGCGGAGAAGGCCACACCCCAGGTCTCGCAGCTGGATTTCCAGTCATACTGTTGGGATTGTCCGGGCTTCAGCTCAGCCACGAGGAGGGGGTCTCCTGGGAAGAGGATAAGAAGGAAGGGAGGGAGGGAGTGGGTTTAGTGGCTCAAAGCACCAGACTACAAACTGGGAGACTAGGAGGGAGGGAGGGAGGAAGGAAAGAAGGAAGGAAGGAAGGAAGGAAGGAAGGAAGGAAGGAAGGAAGGAAGGAAGGAAGGAAGGAAGGAAGGAAGGAAGGAAGGAAGGAAGGAAGGAAGAAAGAGTTTAGTGGCTTAAAGCTCCAGGCTACAAACTGGGAGACCAGGAGTTCTAGTTCCACCTTAGGTGAAGGGAGGGAGGGAGGAAGGAAGGAAGGAAGGGAGGGAGGGAGGAAGAAAGGAAGGAAGGAAGGAAGGAAGGAAGGAAGGAAGGAAGGAAGGAAGGAAGGAAGGAAGGAAGGAAGGGTTTAGTAACTTAAAGCGCCAGGCTACAAACTGGGAGATCCTGAGTTCTAGTTCCACCTTAGGCGAAGGGAGGGAGAGTTTTTAGTGGCGTAAAGCTCCAGGCTACAAACTGGGAGACCCTGAGTTCTAGTCCCACCTTAGGTGAAGGGAGGGAGGGTTTAGTGGCTTAAAGCTCCAGGCTACGAACTGGGAGACCCTGAGTTCTAGTCCCACCTTAGGTGAAGGGAGGGAGGGTTTAGTGGCTTAAAGCTCCAGGCTACCAACTGGGAGACCCGGGACCTTAGGCACAAATTCAGCCAGGGGACTTTGGGCCAGTCCGTTCCCTTCTCTCAGCCTTGGGAAGAAGCAGGCGAGGGCAAACAAAGCCCAGCCAAAATCTTGCCAAGAAAACTGCGGACATTTATCCAGGCAGTTGCCACTGACTCGAAGCCAAACACACACACACACACACACACACACACACACACACACACACACACAAATAAATAAATAAGGGGAGGAGGGAGGGGGGATCCAAGCATCTCTTTAAGGGTTCCCTGCAGGAGGAGACCCCTCTTTTATCTACGGGGGGGAGGGGGAGGAAGCCTCCCGCAGGTGCCCGAGCCCCGCTTGCCCGATTCAGCCAGGGGATGGAAGGCAGAGGCGCTGCGCCGCGCTCCAGCGACCAGACTCCCGGTTCGTTTCAAGGGCCTGGCGGGGGGGGGGGAAACGCCGGGATTTGCCCCTCGCCAAGCCGGGCTCGGCCTCCCCGGACGCGCGGGGCGAAGGGGACCGCCGCGCCCTCCGCTCACCCTCCGCCACCGCCTCTCCTGCCGACAGCAGCCGCGGCCGGCAGCGCTCGCCCGGGGCCGCTTCCATCCTCTTCCCGAGCCCGTCCCTCGTCCGGGAGGAGCCAGATGACGGACTCGGCGCGGAGGGGAAGCCGAGAGACGGGGCGGAGAAGCAGCGGAGGAGCGCTCCGCCCCTGCGCCACTTTTGCGCCCTGGGCGCACGGCTGGTTGCGACGGGGAGGCGTGGCGGGGCTGCAACCGGTTTACTCGGAGGAGAGTTGCGTGGCCCTGCCTCGCTTGCCGGGGCGGCCCTTGGCTGCTTTCCCCAAGCGGGCTGCAGCTCCCATCATCCACAGCCAAATGGCCTTTTGGGGAGGTGGGTCTGGTCCGTCCAGCTGGGGAAAGGCCGGAGTAGAGGCCTTGGTGCACTCTAAGCTTGGGGGTTTGCTTGCACATCGGCCCAATATCTCAGGGGCTGCCCCAAAGAAGTCAAGCTCTTCTCCAAGGCGCCTGAAGGCAGGACAAGAAGCAACGGATGGAAGCTAACCAAGGAGAGAAACAACCTGGAACTAAGGAGAAACTTCCTGACAGTGAGGACAATTAACCAGTGGAACAGCCTGCCTCCAGAAGCGGTGAATGCTCCAACACTGGAAGTTTTTAAGAAGAGACTGGACAGCCATTTGTCCGAAATGGTGTAGGGTTTCCTGCCTGAGCACGGGGTTGGACTAGATGACCTCCAAGGTCCCTTCCAGCTCTATTCTGATTCTTTACAAAACCAAGTCCATTATCGGAGACCTATCAAATTCGCACTCAGGATATGACTCAGGGGTAATAAAAACCTCTATATGGCTTGTGTGCTTGGTTCTAAGTGTTATCTAATTTTGTTAATTTTCATGTTTTCATATTAGCGTGTTTTTTCTTGGACTGTAAGACGGTCAGTTTCAGCTTTGGAGAGTAAGATGGATGGCATATAATTCTGATTAATAAATAAAATGCCTGCCAAAAAAAAAAACACCCACCAAGCTCAGAGCTTCTGTTCTGGCAATTCAGTTAACAAACGAGTTACTAACTTATCAACTGCGATGATTCACTTAACAAATGGGGCAAAACTCACTTAGCCGATCTCTCGCTTTGCAACGGAAATGTTGCCGTCCCTGTACAGAAAACACGATCCTTGGTAACAGGATACGAACGACAGGCTGTCAACGCTGCTAACATCGGATGTTTTTGCATTGACAACAGATGGAAATGTAGCCATCTTCTTCCCTTTCCCTTTTAGAGTTAGATGATGCTGGGGGGGGGGTGTGAATGAGAGTCCAGCTAGACATAACAACACTAAACTTAGCATGAGGATCAAGGTTATTGAGCCCAGAGCTGATAAAGAATTGGTGGGCTGACGCTTCAAGCTAATTGGAGAATGTAATTCATGACGGTTAATTGGAGGAGGGGATTGTGCTTTGATACTAGGTGCCCAGGGAGGGGAATTCAGTTTTTGACTTCGATTATGTAGAGCCGATATTATGCTACTCAAATAAAAGATCCTTTAAGGTAAACAATGCCTCAAAGTTCTTTTGAAGCACTTCATCTGTTGGAACCATGACACCGGCATTTAGCCAATAAAGAGCATGCATTTCACTTAAAAACAGCAAACAAGAATAGCTCCAGTTCTTAAAAGGTGTGAAATGAATATAAAACTTCTCCTGATTTGGCTAATAACGCCCACATATCAAACACACAGGCACACACCCTACAGGCAAGTCACCTTTGTATCCAAAAGCCACACTTTTATTCCATAAACAAAAGATCACACCCAGATTCACAAGGGCCAGAAGAATGTTGGCCTCTGATTGCTACCAGCCTCAAAAGGAAGTAATTATTTCAGGAGTGCAACAGGCAAAAGAAGATGACGGCTGGAAAAGTGGCATTTTAAAGGAGGAAGCCTAACCCACCTGCCGGTCCATCAATAGACCCCGAGCCAGATTTGCACATTATTCTAGCATCTGACATCCAGCGTACAATTTGTACATGGTTCTAACCTCTATAGGTTAGTTTACAACCGTCTGTTTGTGCTCACTTCGGCAGCACATATACTAAAATTGGAACATTTAGTGACTGTTCCAAGCGACAACAGCACTGGAAAAAAGCCACTCGTGACCCCTTTTCACACTTACGACCGTTGCAGCCTCCTCCAAATTCAGATGCTTGGAAAATGGCACGGACTTACGACGGTTCGAGTGTCTTGAGGTCACACGACCCGCTTTTGCCACCGAGCAAAGTCGGTGCGGAAGCTACTTAACAACCGGGTTGCTATCTTAACAACTGCAGTGATCCCGCTAATGTGGCAAGAAAGGTCGAAATTTGGGGCAAAGCTCACTTAGCGGCAGATATTTTGGGCTCGGTTGCGGTCGTAAGTTGAGAGCCAGCTGTATTTCAAGTGGGCAGGCTTCAATTCTCCAGCTTCTCTGCGAAGGACAGGCTGGCTTGAGAATCCTTTAAAATATTTAGAGGGGATGAATTGGGACCATATACCTGGGCAGGTAACAGCTGCAGCTGCTCCTACAATTCAGACGGCTGAAGATCCCAGAAACGAGCAAGCAAAGGCATGCAGTTTAGTGATGCCAAATCCACTTCATGGGAAGAAGTCCCCCAAGTTCAGTACCCAGGTAGAGCTGAGATAGACTCCTGCCTGAAGCCCCCCTCCCCCAAATATCTGCCTCTCGTCTGGGGTGACATGAGACATAATTTTTGTCAGTAACTTCCTGCATTCAAGCCCTAGAGGACACAAAGAGTTGTTAGATGCCTCAAGCAATTTGCACCTAAGCAAGACTGTCCAGTTGTTGTTGTTTTCCCCAACAGGAGCTGCTGTGATGCTTCCTTCCCTGAAAGAGACCCTAGAAGCTTTGACTCCTGTTAAGAGTCATATCCAAAGAGGATCTAAGCTGGGAATGTGGGATCCAGGACCAGCTGGGACATCTCTCCCTGTTCCTCCAGCTCTTCTGCAGGGCCACAAGGCTTCCTGTCCAGGGATGCTTCTTCCTCCAGTTCCGAAAAAGCCACCTCATTTGTATCCTCGCCTACGTCACAAATGTTGTTTCAACACACAGCTCAGCCAAGCAGCAGCACAGGGAGGGATAGAGGCCAAAGAGACAGACCCAGATGGGCATAATTTTTCTAGGAATCCTTTGGGTCCAGTTCCATCCACTCTGCAAGTCTGTTTCTCTTCTTAGTACATAAAGCAAAAAAAGAGATAATCCTCTCTATGCTGTGGGTTTGGCTGTCCGGACTTCCTCCAGGGAGATGGACGTTTCTGGAAATGAGCCTGAAAAAAAAAATGCACGGAAATTAAAAACCGTAGCCAGGTATGGTTAGCAGCTCACCAAATCACCTGTTCCCCTCCCTCCCCTATTATAAGTATCATAAGAACCAGTTTGGTCTAATAGCTGAGGCAGCAGACTAGTAACCAGGGGGTCCTGAGTTCTAGATTCGTCTTAGGCATGAAAGCTGACTGGATGGGGCTAATCATCAGGAGACCGTGAGTTCTAGCCCCGCCTTATGCATGAAGCCTGGTTGGGCGATTATAGGCCAATGACCAGGAGACGGTGAGTTCTAGTCCCACCTTATGCATGAAACCTGGCTGGATGACTTTGGGCTAATCACCAGGAGATGGTGAATTCTAGTCCCACCAGAGGTACTAAAGCCATCTGGGTGACTTTGGGCCAATCCCCAGCAGAAGGTGAGTTCTAGTTTCTCCTTAGACATGAAAGTTGACTGGGTGACCTTGGGCCAGTTTCTCAACCCACCTCACAGGGTTTTTGTTATGGGGAAAATTTGGAGGACAAAGGAGTATTAAACATCTTCACCAACTCGAGTTACCTACAAAGTCATAAAGCCTGCATAAAAATCTAACAAATAAATAACTCCCATTTGAATTTGTGTCCTGCTAATTTCCATTTAAAGCAAGGATGCCCCGCTATTTTCCCCAGGGGAGTGGGCAAGGAACTCTAGTTCTCTAGAGGGATGTTTGGAAGGAACGGTGTTTAGTTTTTCATCCTTTACGTAAAAAACATAGCTAGTAGAATTGCTCTTCAGCTTTGTGTTAAACGAGATGCTCCTTTTGCTACCAGAGAAATTACAGTTCATTAACAAAGTTGAGAAGACTGTGGGAGCCGCGCCCTGAGTTTATGGTTGTGCTTCTGTAACTGTTAGCCTTACCAGGTGCACCACACTGAAAACATGACCAGGTAAGCAAATTGTACTTTATTGCAAAGCTATATTAACAGAATCTTGCATTTCTCCACCTTTACACCTTGAGAAACTAGGGAGGGTCCTTTTTGAGTTTCTTGCCCCACCCACTATCCGTCTCTGAGCTAAGCTGTCTCTTATATGATTGCTCCGTAGGCAGCATCTCCTTCACCCGTTTCCAAGGTCTTCCCCACAAACCACCAGGATTAACAGAGAGAATGAGACAAAAGTATGGTCAAGGAAGTTGAACTGGCAGCCCCACAGATGTAATTGAAGCTCCACCTGGTTTTTATGTGCATCATACATAAGATGAAGAAATGAAACCGATTCTGCTGAGACGGTGAGAGACTGAAACCTTTCCAAGGGCACTGCAGCAGGTGTAGAGAAGAAGCAGATGGTTCCCGTAACAAAGTGAAATTGTTTACATGGACTAGGCGAGAGGGTGGGGATCAGGCCAGATAAATTATTGTTTAATTCTATCAACTGGTGTCTGGAAACCTCAGAGTTAGTTTTGCCTCAACATTACCATGCCGTGTATTCAATAAACAGTAAGAGTTTCGGAAATGGAATGAACCTGGAGTGTTTATTTGGATTCTTGTGAATTGACACACAATTCCTGCCTGTGCCTGGGTCCCTCCATTCATCTTACTTTCAGTAGATCTGGTAGAACCTCTGTTTCCTATCCCTTCCATCTGATGTGATGTTGGTTCACTAGTGGCCTCCAAGTACAGGTCATCTTCATCTGAGTCCATAAGTTCAAGGATGTCACCTGCATCTCGATTCCTGCAATGCAGACAACAATAAAAACCATAAGAAAGAAATGAAGAGAACTCTTCTCCTCCTCCTTGCTTGAAGGACCACCTCTGTCAGGTGATATTCACTAAAGAGCATGTTGACCCAACTTGGCAGATAGGTCACATTTTCCAGCTGGGAACCATGGGAGATACTATCAAGTATGGGGTCCTTGGTGCTCTCTGAGCTTGGTTGTTTTCTTGCAGACATTTCATTACTCAGTTAGGTCTAGCGTTGTTGATGTTACCTGGCTGGGTAATGAAACGTCTGCAAGAAAACAACCAAGCTCAGAGAGCACCAAGGACCTCACAAACCTCCTTCTGCTCCTCCACCTCTTCCCTTTCTCTCCTCCTCTTCCTTCTCCTCCTCCTTTCTGCAAACCCCACTCCTTCTAGGACTGATGATGTTACCTAGTTGGATAATGAAATGTCTGCAAGAAAACAACCAAGCTCAGAGAGCACCAAGGACTCCACAGTTCAACCTTGAGCTATAAATATTCTGTTGTGTTGTTATCAAGTATACCTGCAGGTAATTATTGAACTACTATTGAGCATTCCGTGACATAGAATCTAAAATATTATACTTAAAAATACTTATAAGTGGCATGCTTCTTTCTTGCCCAGCCCTAACCCCAATGAAATTGTTAGTTTTGTTCAATGGATGAGGCTTTATACAAATTCACGGGCTGTACCATTTTAAAGAGGTCGCACTACCACAAGGTTTGACAATCCCTTCTCCAAATGATGGTTTCTTTAGATGAAATGGGTCGAGACTTTTTAGTTAAAAAATAGAGACACTTACCGAAGCACGTTCGCTGGGAACATGAAAGAGAGAAGAGAAGAAAAATATTTTGTATTAAAAAGTTACTCATTTGCTTTCTAAGGTTATACAGTAAGTATCTAATGCAATGTCAGAAATATATTCTGTCTGCCTGCCTGCCTGCCTGCCTGCCTGCCTGCCTGCCTGCCTGCCTGCCTGCCTGCCTGCCTGCCTGCCTGCCTATCTATCTATCTATCTATCTATCTATCTATCTATCTATCTATCTATCTATCTATCTATCTATCTATCTATCTATCTATCTATCTATCAGATGTATTGGCCACCCATCTTAGCAACATACAGTATATCGCATTTAGAAACCTTTGGTTATCTTTTATTTTATTATTGGAAGGATGTGCCAATATATCCATAAGATTTTCTTTTTCAACGTTCCTATAAGATTGCCTAGAGCGCAATTTAAGGAATACACATTTTGAAACCCAAATGCATTCTGTTGGTTTGACTCCTCCAGCGAGCAATTCTCTACAGACCCTCTCTCACCTTTGAGGCACACCTGAGGTCCCGCATAGAGAAGGATTCCAGAAAAGACCAGAACTCCGAGCAATAAAAGGACTACAACGGAACCCACAATGCCAGCAACGTTCAGAGGATCTGCAGAGAGAAATGGAGAGAAAAAAAGCATTGAGATGGGGGGGGGGAGAGAGAGAGAGAGAGAGAGAGAGAGAGATATGCCATGAAGCAACTTCTCCTCCTCCTCCTCCTCCTCCTCCTCCTCCTCTTCCCCCATTTCTTAAAATTTGTAAGATCGCCACCCTTCAAAAATGAAACTCAAAAGGAATTCTCAAGCAGGAGGGAAGGAAGGAAGGAAGGAAGGAAGGAAGGAAGGAAGGAAGGAAGGAAGGAAGGAAGGAAGGAAGGAAGGAAGGAAGGAAGGAAGGAAGGAAGGGTGGCAGGGTGGGAGGAAAAAGGAAAGGAAAGGAGAGGGGAGGGGAGGAAAGGAAAGGATTGTGGGCAGATTTTATTATCGCATGGGATGTACAGTATAAATTTAAACAAAATCCAGCTTTCTTAATTAATCAACTTGCTAAAGCTAACCAATCAGTCTTGCTAAATCAACACTCCACTTGCTGGAACCAACCATTTCCCACCAGGTGAGGCCTTCCCATCACGGGTGGGAGAGCTTTTTAGGCATCAGAGCAAGGAGGTCCCAAATAGCTTTCGTTACTGGCAGCAAGTCAAAGCTTCTGTTTTATAAAGACCTCTGGGTTCAATCCTGATCGTAGAGTCAAGGACTTTCAGCCACTTTAAGAGCTGCATGGACTTCAACTCCCAGAACTCCTGGCCGGCTGAGGGAATTCTGGGCGCGGAAGTCCTCCCACCCTCAGCCCAAGTGCCCCTATTGCAACCTCCTGACTTACCTGTCACCTTCAGGTGAACGTAGACCTCTCTCGGGCCCAGGGGGTTCTCGGCCTTGCAGATGTAGTACCCTTGGTCTCTGCTGGCCGAGCAGTTCTGGATGACAAGGCTGGAGACCCCCTCCTTTTGGCTGATGAGAACCCTGCCCCTTGACCGGATCTCTGTCTCCACCTTGGAGGAGTTGCGCCACCAGGTGATCCTCGCAGGTGGGTTGCCGGCTGTCAGTTCACAGGTCATCTCTATGGATCTCCCCGCGAAGCAGCGCTTCATTGGGTTGGCCATGACGGAGGGCCGCTCTGGCGCAAGAGGAAAGTCAAGTTGAGTTGGGAGGACAGGAGATATATATGTTTTATTAGGGTTTTTGTTTTTTTACATATCACCATCAATATTTGCTAAGCAGTGTGTTGTCTGGGTTTGTATTTACAAATACTAGTTAGTTTCTAAGAGTTCCATATTCCACATGATAGCTTTCCTAGATTTTCTCTCCTTCCAATAATGTTCTCTTTTATTAACCTTAAATTAGTACATTCCTTGATAATTTCAGAAGATCACAATTAAATATCTACGAATAACCTCCACCTCATTCTTGAGCTTCTTTTCTCATTAATCATCTTCTAGATCACCTTGTTCAAGTTCTCATTTAAATTTATTTTCCCCACAATATTCAAAAGAAAACATTTTTACCTGTTAAATCAGGTGAAGGAAAGCTACCTGATATAAAACCTAAGCAAGTTGTGCTTCCTTTTTTCTGGTTATCTGGCTATAACTTTTCATAGAATACAGTACAGATCATTGAACAAACTTCGTTGCGTTACATACTTGACTAAATTATCTTTCCACTGATATATAATTTTAGGATACTACTCAAAAAAAAGTGGTGTTATTAGCCATCAAACCTCAAAAATACACTTTTCCCAAAAGGTTTCCACAATTGTGGCCGCTACTGTTCCTGCACAGACCATTATAGGGATGATGTTGAGGAAGCTTTTAGAGAAGTATAGGGGTGGGGGGACTCAAATGGGAGCTAAAAGAACAAGGCCGAAAAGAATAAACGAGGAAATTAAAACCAGCCATTCCTTACATCAGGAGCATGGAAAGACATTAAGAGAACAGGGAGAGAAATCCCAGTCAGCTCTTTCCCATTTGGAGTCTTGGAACGCACTGCGAAATTGTGCAGTTCCGGAATCCCATCCTTGACTCACCCAATCGCAAGGTGCAGTTCTGGTTTTTCTTCTCATTTGCAATATGGTTTCCGCGGCAGACAAAATCCTTGCCCCAAAGCCGCCGTGACCCTTGCAGAGACACCACTGTAGCATTTGCAAAGTGGGTGGTGTTGGAATCCATGGCTAGACCCTCCAGGTTGATCCACTGGAGCGTAGGGGGTGGGTAGCCCCCGGGCCAGCTGCACGACAGTTGAACCTCCTGAGAATTCTCCACGGAGGTCTCAGCTTGACACCTGGGCGATGACGGTGGGAGATCTGAAGAGAGAAGCTTGCAAAAGGACTGGGAAATAGCTCTGGGTCTGATTTATTTACATTTTTTATTGCCTGTTTTTAAACACCGGAGACAAGTACTAAAACCCGGGTGCGGGGGGGGGGGGGGGAATCTAGGATCAGCTCTGACCCTGACAGAAACATGGCTAGAGGACAAGGGATTGAGAGAAAGCAGAAACAGAAGTTCATGAAAAGCAATAAGGAAGGAACTTTTGAGGGGGGGAGAAGATGAGGCGGGGTTTGGACTTCAGCCCCCCCCCCCCGTCAGCAAAGTTAATGGTTGGGGACAATAGACGTTGTAGTTCAGAACACCCGCTAGGATTTTTCTGCCAGCTATTCCACTGGCCTTTGTGGAACCACCAAGTAGATTAGGAGAAGATCCCACCTGTGTCCTGTTTGTGCATTGGTCCTTTTTATCTATGGAATAACAGAGCTGGAAGGGGCCTTGGAGATCTTCTATTCCAACCCCCTGCTCAAGCAGGAGACCCTATAGTAGCATCCCTGACAAATGGTTGTTCAGTCTCTCCTTGAAAACCTTGAGTGATGGCGCACCCACAACTTCTGGAGGCCAGCCTGTCTACTACTAAACTTCCATCCGTGATCATTTCGTTCTCGTTCACTCTGAACGTTTTCATTCCTAATGTTGAAGGCTTTTCCTCTTCAAGGACACAATTCCTTAAGAGGAAGGCATAGGGGCCACAGTCCTGTGCATTTCCAGAAGTGCAACATTCCCTGGGGAAAAATGACACCCACGCACTCACCCTGCCCATAGTTTTCGGCATACGTACAGTAGATCAGGAGTTCGCGGACGACCGACTTCTGGCGTTGGCTCAACAGGTTTGTGGCCAGACACGAGTAGTTCCCTTGATAGTTGGGCATGACGTTGTGTAGCACGAAAGAGCTCTGTGAGCTGTTGACTTCGGTGAATGGCTCCTGGGCAGAACCAAGTGGGTTAAAATCCCACTTAGTGGCGGAATCAGGCCAAGAATCACTACTGCAGGTGAAGTTCAAGATGTCATGCCTTTTGGCATAAAGCGTGCCATTTGGCAACGTCCCGGTGGGAGAAATTTTGACTTCCATCAGCTCTGGTCCACCTGGAAAGCAAGCATGTCAAAATAAAACATGTTCCCTGTCAAACAGTTGTACCAGGTGGGCAGAGAGAATTGGAGAGACTGGTCCCCCAGGTAACCAGATATGCCACGGAGGGCTTCCAAGGTAACAACCGGCAACTTGAATTGCACCCAAAGGCCGGATGGCAGCCAACACAGTTTGTGCACAATCCATCAGAATAGAGCTGGAAGGGACCTTGGAGGTCTTCTAGTCCAGCCCCCTGCTCAAGCAGGAGACCCTACGCCCTTCGAGACAAATGGCTGCTCAGTCTTTTCTTAAAAACCTCCAGGGATGAAGCCCCCACAACTTCTGGTGGCAAGCTGTCCCACTGGTTCATTGTCCTCCTGGTTAGGGAGATTCTCCTTAAGTCCAGGTTGCTTCTCTCCTTGATTAGTGTGTCACAGTGATGACAGCAGGCAGAGCTACCAGGAGCAGGTGACCGTGACCAACTAGGATCTGAGCCCAGGACAACTCCTGGCAATGCGCCCCCCCCATGGGAATTAAGGTGGTTGCAGAGGTTTTCCGACGCACCTGTTAAAACTTCCTGCCCTGTTTTCTTATTTGAAATTAAAGATGGAAACCTGGCAAAATCCCACCTGGGTTGCCCCCTTCTTTCTTTACAAGGAAGCCCCAGAGATGCCCTCGTCCTGTTTAGAACATATAAATATTGCCTGGATGTTGCTTGGCTCCAACCGTTTGCTTTCTCCGTTGTTTGTTTGTTTGTTTGTTTACAGTTTTGTTTTGTTTGTTTTCTGTTACTATAGCTTTTGTTTACGTGTTTATTTATATTCTGCCTTTGCCGTTATTGGTGCTGTGATTGTTAAGCAAATCAATGCGGTTAACTGAACCAGGCAGCTGATGATGGATTGAGCAACGGAAGTGATTTGCTTAATAAACATCAAAGTGAGTGTGGCTCACTTAACTTCTTTAGCAAGGGAAATTCTTGACCCAGTTGCAGTCATTTGTCAAGGACTACTGTATTGTGCACCTATAAATCTTCTGCATCTTGATGGATGCAGCGGTGCACCAGTTAAAATGGGTGCGGCTCTCGCCTTTCACACGCAAAGAGCAGAATTACCAGCCAGCCACACCTTGAAAGCAAATAAGAAATTGAGATAGGGGGTTGTAATCTGGTAACTATAGCAAGATTATTGTACGCCCGACACTGGAGAGAATGCGGAAATCTTGTGGAAGGGATTGCGTAAGTGTCAGGATTCGCAGAAATGGCAAAATTGGTCTGTTTGGTCCGAGGAAAAAAACAATAGAGGTCATAGAATAACAAGAGTTGGAAGGGAACTTGGAGGTCTTCTAGTCTAGCCCTCTGCTCAAGCAGGAGACCCTATACCATTTCAGACAAATGGCTGTCCAGTCTTTTCTTGAAAACCTCCAGTGCTGGAGCATTCACAGCTTCTGGAAAGCAAGTCGCTCCACTGATTAATTGTTCTCATTGTCAAGAAATTTTTCCTTAGTTTTAGAGCTGAATCTCCCTCTCTCTCTCTCTCTCTCTCTCTCTCTCCCTCCCTCTCTCTTATAATTTATTGTTTTATCATAGAGAATAAAATACAGAACAGTAAAACAAACAAACAAAATGAAACAAAACAAAAACATACACTCAACCCTAACAACAACAAAAGAAAAGAGAGAGAGAAGGAGAGGGAGGGACAGAAAGAGAGAGGAAGGGAGAGAGAGGAAGAGAGAGGCAGAGAAAGAAAAAAATAGTGTACAAAAAAAAGCAAGAAAAGGGGTTCAATTAAATTTAACAATTAAGATGTAGGATCCACTCCGGCTGAATGCTGAAAGAAAATACAAATATATATGTAATGTTTAACTTAACCTGTTGACTGCTTTTTCTTCTTTTTTTATGTGTGTGTGTGTGTGTGTGTGTGTGTGTGTGTGTGTGTGCGTACACACACATACATATACATACACACACACATCTTTTATATAAAAGAAGAGAAAGCAGTCAACATTACATATATATTTGTATTTTATATTTTGCATTTCTGGATGGATGGATAGATGATAGATAGATAGATAGATAGATAGATAGATAGATAGATAGATAGATAGATAGATAGATAGATAAAAAGAAGAAAAAGCAGTCAACAGGTTAAACTAAACACTACACTAATCTTCAAATCTCTCTGTTTAGGTTGAATCTCTCTTTGATGAGCTTCCATCTGTTACTTCCTGTCCTGTCTTCAGGTGATTTGGAGAACAGGTTGACCTCCTCTTCTCTGTGACAGCTGCTCAAGTATTGGAAGACTGCTATCATGTCATCCTAGTCCTTCTTTTTGTTAAACTGGACATACAAAATCTCCCCCCACCCTCCAAAGCATTCACGTGAATCTCCATGGCAATCTTTACTGGACGATCAGGTTAGCATTTTCACTCGTTTTCCTAAGGCAGGACTATAACTCACAGTCTCCTGGATCCTAGGCCAGCACCTTAACTGCAATAAAACTAGTGCTGACCCCTATGGCACTGAATTTTTGTTTTGGTCTGACCTACCTTGTTGGGCTGGCAACTGTTGACTTAATGCAACATCTATACCCACATACATTGTCTAATATACTGCCCTGTTCTATCTGCCGAGCATCCACGCCGTTTTCTAAAGCAAGGGTGAAAACTTACCGGCCATCAGTAACTGGATCCTGTGTGTATGGTTGGTCTCAGCCAGTATCTCCCTGCACAAGTAGTGACCTTCGTCCTCTCGACGCAATCCTGAAATGTGCAAGGAGCTGTTTTCCACCAGGGACAAGCGGCTATCCGAAGGCAGTTTTCCATCCGAGGAGAAGAGCATGGGGATTGCACCGGGCTCACCGTGAAACCACTGCACCACCAGCACCTGGGAAGATGCATTCCAGCATCGCAAGGTCACTTCCCCATCCAGTTCGCCAACTGCCACTTCTTCAGTTTCTGGGGGAGATAAAGTTTATTTATCTAAAATGCTCTCCTTTCTAAGAGCTGAAGCCCACCTGCCTTAAAGTTGCCCAGGTTGTGAAACACTGAGTTAAGAGTTTCCATCCATCTACCCTTTGCACGGAGAGACAGTTTGGTCTAGTGGTTAAGGCAGAAGGCTAGAAGCCAGGAGGCTGCGAGTTCTAGTCTCACCTTAGGCACGAAAGCCAGCTGGCTGACTTTGGGCTAATCAGCAGGAGATGGTGAGTTCTAGTTCCGCCTTAGGCATGAAAGTCAATAGGGTGACTTTGGCCCAGTTACCAGGAGACTGTGAGTGCTAGTTCCATCTTAGGCACGAAAACCAGCAGGGTGACCTTTGGGCCATCAGCAGAAGACAGTGAGTTCTAGTCCTGCCTTAGGCATGAAAATCAGTTGAGTGACTTTGGGCCAATCAGCAGGAGATGGTGAGTTCTAGTCCCAACTTAGGCAGGAAAGCCAGTTGGGGAACTTTTGGGCCAATCACTAGGAGACCAGGAGTTCTAGTCCCGCCTTAGGCATGAAAGCCAGCTGGGGGACCTTGGGGCCTCTCCCATCTTCTCAGCCCAACCCATCTCACAGGGTTGTCGTTGCGAGGAAAACAGGAGGAGGAAGGTGTGATGGATACATTCACCGTCTTTGAGTTGTTTGTAAAAATAATAAAGGTGGGATATAAACACCAAATACACCGGGCATACCACCCTAAATCACGGTTTAACCACACTTGAGTAAATCAAGCACGGCACGCTAGGTTTTAGCAAAGTGCACTGAAATCACATCAACTCTTGGAAGCTGATATGAGACAAGAAAAGAGCATCGTAGTTGCACTCCCTGTAAAAGCAAAGCTGGGTCTTTTCTCCTTGCCAAGCAGAATGCAAACTCATCCTGCTCTATTATTAGCTCTCTTTCCAACAGTACCTCTCCTTGCTCAGAACTCTGCATGCAAAAGCAGGGTTTTACAGTTTTCATTCGGTCAGTCTGTTTAGCCTTCAGATTGAAAATCCGCCTATAAAGTCATCACAACCCACTAAAGCAGTGGTTCTCAACCTGTGGTCGGGACCCCATTTGGGGTCGAACGACCATTTCACGGGGGTCGCCAAACAAGGCTGTCCGCCATTTTTTCCCCCTTTTCTTTGGCCACACCCCTGGCACCCGGTGATGTATAAGTAGTTGGGGGTCACCACAACATGGGAAACTGTATTATGGGGTCGCGGCATTAAAAAGGTTGAGAACCACTGCACTAAAGGGTTGGAGTTAACCAGGAAGAACCTGGGCTGAATTTTGTTTGTCTATCTCACAAATTAATTCTAGTTTACTTGGTAATTCTACCTGTCTCCTATTCATAGTTCTTTCTTTCTTTCTTTCTTTCTTTCTTTCTTTCTTTCTTTCTTTCTTTCTTTCTTTCTTTCTTTCTTTCTTCTTCCTTTCCTTTTTCTTTCCTTCCTTCCTTCTTTCCTTCCTTCTTTCTTTCTCTTTCCTTCCTTTTCTTTCTTTCTCTTTCTTTCTTTCTTTCTTTCTTTCTTTCTTTCTTTCTTTCTTTCTTCCTTTCTTTCTTTCTCTTTCCTTCCTTCTCTTTCTTTTCTTTTTCTTGCTCACATTCCTTCCTCTCTCTCTCTCTCTCTCTCTCTCTCTCCTTTTCCTTTCTCATAAAAGTGCTTTGCTTCTTCTCCCCCTTCCTAACCGAAACAGGCAAACGTTATCAATTGCCCCTCCCTCACCCCAGCCACAACCCAACCCTCAGAAAAGCGATTAAAATCATCCTAGAAAAATTCTGCATCCTACCTCCCCCACTTTAGACTTCGGGGAAATCAGAGAGCAGGCAGTTGTGACCGGAAGCGCTTTTGGGACAAAAACAAGTATGCAGTATTCCTGAAAAATTTGGAGTTAGGGCGGGGAGGGGGGGAGAGGGGGGCTGGGAGGGAAGGAAACAAATGACGTCGCAACCTCTAAATCCCGACCTGTCTAAAAAACTTGGCGGAACAACGATCCCTTTACGCAAAGCATTCCCCATCATTGCCAACAAACGCCGCGCGCTCAGTCGGATTTTTCGCGGACAGACGAAGGCAAAAGGGGCGGGAGGGGGGAGGTTCGGGGGGGGGGCGGCGATCCCGTCCCGCAGAAAGTTCGGAAAGCGAAGGAGACGAGAAGGGAAGGGTTACACATCCTTGTTTGGGAAAAAAAACCCCGAAGTCAAGGCAACATTCTCCTCCTTCCAGGAGAGACTTAAGATGCTTTAGCGGGAAGGCTCCCCATCTAGTCTAGTCGTCCCTCCGGGCGGGGGGGGGGGAATCTCCTCGTGGTCTCCTCTCCAAGTGGAACCCCGGCTCTTCCCGGCTCAGCTGTCATCTCTCCAACCTTGGGGCTGTGCCACCTGCCCTGCCCTGCCCATCGCGCCCGGCCAAGGGGAATACCTGCAGCGCCGCCGCGCCCGGAAAGCGCCAGGACGAAGAGAAGGCTCGCAGCCGCCCGGCTCGCCATGGCAGCTCGGATTGGGGGGAGCCGGCGCGGCTCCGCGGATTTACGGCCGGGAGGGCGGGCAGCGTTGACAGAGAGGCGGGGAAACTTCCCCGCGGGAGGCGGAGCGGCTGCGGCCGACGCGCTTCGCTCCGGGCTTGGTTTACCTGGCGCCGGCCGGTGACTGGGGACCTTCCCAGCCATCCAACGCAACGTAAGTCACTGAGACCTCGGTTAAAGTGAGTTTTGCTCCACTTTTCTTTGCCAGGGCGGTTTAAGCGAATTACTGCCGTCGTTAAGTTAGTAACGCGGTCGTTAAGCGAATCTGGCTTCCCCAGGGCCAGAAAGTCGCCAAACGTTGATCGGATGACCCCGGGACACTGTGACCGTCGTAAATATGAACCAGTTGCCAAGCGTCTGGATATTGATGGAGGGGATGCAGCAGTGGAAAAAACCGGTCTTTTTTTCGGTACCGTTTTAACTGTGAACGGTCACTAAATGAACCGTCGCGAGTCGAGGACTACCTGGACAGCTGGATCGAGGATCCAGCCGTGACACTTACAAATACAGAATGACAGAATTTTAAGGGACCTTGGAGGCCTTCCAGTCCAACCCCCTGCTCAGGTAGGAGATCTTACACCGTTCTGGACCAATCTCTTCTTGACAACCTCCAGTGATGGAGCTACCCACAACTTCTGGAAATGATTAATCGTCTCACTGACAGTAAATTTCTCCTTAATTCTAGGTTGGGTCTCTCTCTCTCTCTGACGCTGATGCCATTTTAATCTGGCTGGGAAGATGGTGACCGGTTCAAATCCCTGATCTGCTTAGGAACCTCACTTTGGGGGCTGGGGTGGAAGGCAGGAAGTGAGTTTGTTAACACCTGTAAACTGGAGAAGGTTACCTAGTTTGGTAGTGAAACGTCTTGTAGAAAATAACCAAACTCAGAGAACATCAGTAACCCCACAATCCCCCTCCTCCCCTCTCCTCTTCTCTTTCTCCTCCCCTTTTCCTCCTCCACCTCTTCCTCTTCTTCCTCTCTTCCTCCTCCATTCCACACACCCAATCACTGACGATGTTACCTAGTTGGGTAATAAAATCTCTGCAAGAAAACGGACCACGCTCAGAGAGCACCAAGGACCCTATAAAACACAACCTCCTAAGATTCATTAGCATCGTCTGTAAAAAGATTTTTGTTTAAGGAACTCAGTGAGATTTCGGACATTTATTTGAAAGAAAGCCCTTGGAGAAGCTAAATGAAACTATAAAATGCCAAAATGTGCAGAGACATGGCTTTAGAAAAAAATATTTCGTCTTTTTTTTAACTATCACTATGAAGATTTCCGAGATGAATTCTCATCATGGGATGGTCAAATGCAAAACTTGGCAATGCCCTCATGCTTTGAATCGCTCTATAAAAGCAGCTTCTCAACTTTAGCAACTTTAAACTGGGTGCGTTTCAACTGCCAGAAAGCCCCAGCCGGCATTCCGGGACTTCAACTCCCAGAGTTCCCTTCTTCCGACAGGGCCGAGCCTGTTCCCCGCCTCAGCCAATGGGAGCAAGAAGGAGGGGTCCCGCTGCCCTGGGATTGGAGGAGGAACTTGCCCCTCCGCAGCCCCCGCATTAGGCTGGATGAGGCTCGCGCGCTACGTTTGCTGGCTGCGGCGAGCAGGGACTAGGACCTTTGGTGCAACCATGCCGGTAGACTTGAGCGGCTGGGGAGGCTCCTTAAACCTCCCCGAGGTGGAAGAGAAGCCGGCGTATCCTCTGCGGGTCCGCTACGGGTCGGTGGAAATCGAGGATCTCGGCCAAGTGCTTACACCGACCCAGGTAAAAGGGCCGCCGGCGCGGGTTGCAAAGTTGCGTCGCCTTTTTGCTCTTGCAAAAAGAAAAGAAAAAAAAAGGGAGGGGGACGCCTCTTTCTCGTCCCTTGGCTGGAGGGAGCTCGGGCCCCTACACCCCCCCCCTTGAATTTCCACGCACGTTTTCCCCACCTGCAACGGGGGCTGCGCGGCGCTTCCAAATCCAGTCCGCAAAAGCCTTAAGGAGCGCCCGCTGGCAGCTGTTAAAAGGGGGGGCTCCATCAAGGAGCTCGGACACGCAAAGATTCAATGAAAAGAGCATTTCAGGGTTATTTTTTTTTCCTGTAAACCCCCACCCCCCAGCTATCTGCAACCCCGCCGTATAGGATTCCGCATCTCCTTTTGCTGCAGATCGCCAACATGCCACAATGGCAAGCGGTAAAGCTAGTCCCGTTTGGAGACCCCTCGCCCCCTCTCTAGGCTCGGCCATTTGCAAGGGGAAAAATCCTTCCCCATCCCCCGAAGGGAAAAAAAAAAAAAGCATGCATCTGAGCGTGCATTATGGGTCTCCTGCTTGGCATGAGCCTTGGCAGGCGAGAGAACCCTGGGTGGCCTTTTGAAGGAAAAAAACAAACAAACAAACGCGCAACGGTTTTTGTTACACATTTTTGGCCTGGCCTTAAAATAGAAGAGAGAAGAGCAAGGGGGAAAGATTAAAAAAGAAAAAGAAACACCAAACCTAAAAATAAAAAGGCACCCATGGCCAAGATGGCATCTTCCCAAGAGGCTCCGTTTTCCCTCCGTTGCAAAGGCCGGTGCAGGCCCCGGAGCGCGCGCTCCCGCCCCCTCGCTCGCCCACCCGCTCGGGCTGAAGGCCGCGCCCGCTTGCAAAACCGAGACGGAACTTTTGAGCTAAATTGGACGCGATCCCGGTGAATGTTAGTGCATGCAATGCAAAAATCCATTTGCCTCGATAAGGAACCGTTTTAGCCTAGGGGGTGAGGCGTAGCTGGGGGAGAGGGACGCCACGGTTTCCATTTAACGGTGCCGTAATTTTCATTAAACCAGCTTCCCCATTTGCAGATGTCCAGCTTTCCACGTTTGTTTTTTTTTGTCAAATCGACTGCCTTTCAAATATAACAATGAACATTTATCCAGATGCATGTCAGCTCATTTGTGACACTGACACGTGCAAAGGAGGGTGGCTTAAAATCTCATAATCTTAACCATCCCGGCTGAACACAGTCCATCCCCTTCACAAAATTAGGTCTCTAATCCAGGGGGTTACTATTCAAACTAAATCTGTTGGGGAATTGTGGCGTCCTTGGTGCTCTCTGAGCTTGGTGGTTTTCTTGCAGATGGTTCATTACCCAACTAGGTCACATCGATGATGATGATGATGTTACCTAGTTGGGTAATGAAATGTCTGCAAGAAAACAACCAAGCTCAGAGAACACCAAGGACCCCACAGTTCAACGCTGAGCTAAAAATATTCTCTTCTATCAATTGGGGAATTCTGGGGGCGGAAGTCCAGATATCTTAAAGTGGCTGAGATTGAGAGAAACAGTTCCCACCTTCTGGAACAGGAATTTTGTTTGTTTGTTTGTTTTATCGTTTGCTGAAAATGCAGGCTGTCTGCAAAGGGAGAAAAATTGGCAACTCTTACTATACAGCTGCCTTAGTCAATGTACATTTCTTCTGGCCCGTCTTTCTTTTGTTTTAACGAGGAGCCAAAAAAAAAATTATTCTGTTTATTTGGGCAGGTCAAGAATCGGCCAACCCTGATAGAGTGGGATAATTGCAGCCCGGATAAATTCTACACTTTGGTTCTTACGGATCCTGATGCTCCCAGCAGGAAAACCCCCAAATTCAGGTGAGTTGAGTTTTGGGGGTGCTTGGAAAGTGCACGGAGTCCCCCCTGAAGAGGAACACTTCTTAGCGTGTTGCAAGGTGGGATTTGCAGACATGGGGACCCAATTCTCTTCTCCTTTTTTTTTAGGGAGTGGCACCACTTTTTGGTGACCAACATGAAAGGCAACGATATCAGCAGTGGGAATGTTTTGTCAGACTATGTTGGATCTGGACCCCCGAAAGGAACAGGTAAGTGGCAGCAGTTCCTTTCGGTATGCATTATCTTTCAGAAAGTGGCCACTGAACAGGTAATCCTCATCTTAGAACTGCATGGATGGGTGGGTGGGTGGATGGATGGATGGATGGATGATAGATCCATTCTCCCATTCCTCCATCATCTTATCCTTCCTCCCATCCATCTATCCATTCATCCTCTGTTTCATTCTTCCATTCCTCCCATCCTTCTATTCATCCATCTTCCCATCCCTCCATCCTATCATCCCTCCATCATCTTATCCTTCCTCCCACCCACCCACCCATCCTCCCATCCATCCTCTCATTCATTCTTCCATTCCTTCCATCCTTCTATCCATCCCTCCATCATCTGCTTATCCTTCCTCCCATCCTCTCATCCATCCCATTCCTCCTATCCACTCACCCATCCATCCTCTTATCCATTCTCCCATTCCTCCCCTCCTCTTATCTCTCCTTCCTCCCATCCATCCATCCTCTCATCCATCTCATCCACCCACCGACCCATCCATCCTTTCACCCATCCCTCCATTCATCCAACCCATCCTCAAAATCTTGTTCGCTGCTTGACTCCCAACCGCTCTGAGGAGGCAGGCAGGGCTGAATTGAACCTTCATTAAAGGGGTTTCTGCTTCCCCCCCCTCCTCCTGTCCCACTTTTAGGCCTTCACCGCTACGTGTGGCTGGTCTACGAGCAGCCCCAGCAGCTGAGTTGCAACGAGCCCATCTTGAGCAACCGCTCGGGGGACAAACGAGGCAATTTCAAAATATCGGCTTTTCGCAAGAAATACAAGCTGGGTTCCCCCGTCGCGGGCACCTGCTACCAAGCCGAGTGGGATGACTACGTGCCCAAACTCTACGAGCAGCTCTCTGGGAAATAAAATGGCCTTCCTGTTGTGCCCTCGTTCCTCTTTCTTGGAAATTCTCCCCTTAGGATAAATGGCCTGGTTTACTCCCGATGCATTGCTGAAAATGACTCCCATTGACTCGCTAACATTAATTAATCTATTTTAATAGATGAATTAATCGGCAGCCTTTATTGTTTTAAAAGGGTTTTTTTTAAAAAAAAAAATGCAAACAAACCTGCAACTGAATTGTATGTTGCATTGCTGCTTTTGAGAAGCTTCCATCCTGAGAATAGAAAACATTCATTTTCTATGACTTAGTTCAGGGGTCTTCAAACTTGGCAACTTTAAGACTAGTGGACTTCAACTCCCAGAATGGCTGAGGAATTCTGGGAGTTGAAGTCCACCAGTCTTAAAGTTGCCAGGTTTGAAGACCCCTGACTTAGCTGGTTGTGAAGCTTGTGCCTTGCCTTAAAAAAGGGCACAAGTGCCAACAATTTTGTGAAGAACACAACCTGCACTCCTATAGACTCAGTGGAATGATAACTGCAGTATTTCTAGCCAGCAATGGGATTATGGACCCCCCCCCAATATATCTGGAAGGTGCTAGGCAGGTGGAGAATATAAAATCGGAAGATAAGCATCTCTTACCGTAATTCGAGGCAGCAATTGGTTCACCGTGGTTTGCAACTGAAGCATCCCGTAATTCCTGCTTGCGGTGATTTTCCACTAAAGAGGAACTGGACCATGGATCCACAATTTCACCTAGTTTGCTTAGATTTTGATTATCTCGATGAACTCTGCTCTTACTGGATATCAAAGTTCTCATGTCTGTTTTAGAAGGCCAGGATTGTTCAAGTTGGATTGCTCTCGTTTTAGCGATAACATTTCTGGATGTTAATTCTTTTTTTCTCCCCTCTAAATTGCTGTTAAATAGAGTACCTAGCAAGTCTTGGATGTTTTCCCATGTTCATTGATATTGTCCCTTGAGAAGCTTGTGTCTGTGGATTTGCTTTGCTCTTGTTGAGAACTTTTCAATTAAAAAGGAGGGTTGTCTTCATATTTTTTTATGCTGCTCCTTCATAGATACCTAGGCTGGATTAAACAGAACAGTTCCATCACAAAGTTTGGCTCATTAACTTTAGTTAGGATTTTTAATCATTCCCGTAAATCCAGTTCTTTTAGTTAGCTTATTGACTGTATTGTATGACATCACAGTTGGTTAGTTCAATAATCAAGTTAACTTGGTTACGAGATGGGAGAGGTCTATTCCAATCTGTGGTCTTTCCAAAAAGGATCCTCAACTGGTTTTATTGTTGATATTGTTTCAATTATTGGTTGGGAAACCCCCAGAATTCAATATAAATGCTCTAAATAAAATTAACAGGTGTTTGTCCAAGAGACTGGACAGCCATTTGTCCGAAATGGTATAGGGTTACCTGCCTGAGCAGGGGGCTGGACTTGATGACCTCCAAGGTCCCTTCCAACTTTATTATTGTTATTGTTGTTGTTATTATTGTTGTTGTTGTTGCTGCTGCTGAAACCCTTCCCTTGAAGAAGAATGGAACATAATTTCAATTGATTGACTTTTGAAGAAAAATATTGTCCATCATTTCTCAGCCTGGACAGTAGAAAACAACAGCCTCCCCCCCTTTTTTTTACAAATCTACATAGGACTTTTATTTCTCCTTGCCCGCCCACCCCCCAAAATCTTTGCTGACCCATCTGAACAAAAAGTGGGTATTAAGGCCTTTACTTGTCCAAGTGAACTGACTTAATAGCTGCGTTGGAGTTCTGACTTAGGTGGACTTCAACTCCCAGAATCCCCCAGCCGGCATGACTGAGGTACAACATTTCAGAATTGGAACAGATTTGAGAAACTGATTTAGGGGTTTAAATTTTATATAAATATTTAATGTTAAATATAAATATATAAAATGCATATAAATTCTATCAGTATAATTTGTGGGTCAGAAAGGATTCAAGAGAGGGGAAGAAGGAGTAATATGGCAATTCCTCAGAAGAACTGGCAGGAGCCAAAATTCTTGTGTTTCCTTTTTTTTTTTAAATTCCTTTTTTTTCTGTTTTTTTCGTCCTGTTTTCCTTTCCTTTTGTTTTCCTTTCCTTTTGTTTTCCTTTCCTTCAGTTTTCCTTTCTTTTTGTTTTCCTTTCCTTCTGTTTTCCTTTCCTTCAGTTTTATTTTCCTTATTTTACCTCAAAATTCTAATTCAGACGTATTTTTTTAAAAAAAAAAAAAAAAACGGCAAGAAAGAAAAAAGACCCGAAGGATGGAAGGTATTTTTCCACTGAAAAAAAAAAGAGTCTCGTGAGAATGTTTAGGTCGTTTGGTCGCTCTAGACTTTTCCTAGCTCTCTGCGGCCGAGAGATGGGCGGGGCCGGGCTGGGGGGGGAGAGGAGAGGAGCTCCTGACGGTTGCGCCTGCGCAGAAGAAGCTCTCCGGCCCTCTCCGAGTCACGTGGGGGGGTGTTCCAGAACGCGGTTGCGTCACAGCGAGTTTCAAGGAGATTCCGGGCGTCTCTTTCGGAGCGAAGCCGGGCCAACCGCAGCGAGCGACCTCGCCATGCCCAGGGGCAGCCGGAGCGCGCCCTCCCGCCCGACGGCGACCAGGTAGGCGTGGGGGGCGAAGCCCACCCGCCCAGATCTCCAGCTCCCCCTCCTAAAAAAGGACCCCGGCTTTGGTCCTGGACACTCTTTCGCCCCCCCCCCCGCCCTGGATAGAAGCCCAACGACTGCTCTCCAAGGTCAGAAGGCAGGAAAAGCGCTCTGTGCATGCTCAGGCGCCCCGTCTTGGAGAGGGGAGGGGTTGAGAGTACTGGACACGAGTTTTGCTCCTAGTACTCTTTCGCCTCCCTCCCCCGCCCTGGATAGAAGCCCAACGACTGCTCTCCAAGGTCAGAAGGCAGGAAAAGCGCTCTGTGCATGCTCAGGAGCCCCGTCTTGGAGAGGGGAGGGGTTGGGTGTATTTAAAAGGCCACGGGTGGGTTTCAACTCTGAGTGACAAAAATAAGGAGGCAAAGTCGACTTAAAACTCCCCAAAGACGCTTCCAAGCAGACGGATCAGCTTAGAGCTGCCAGTCTTATTTAAATCCTGTGTGTGTGTGTGTGTGTGTCCGTGGGTGCCACACACTCATTGTGGGAAGAAAAGGCCAAAGCCTTAACATGTGGGCAGCCAAAGATCTGAGAGAGGGTTGTCAAAGTCTAGGATGGAAAGATATATCTCCATCTCTATATATATATATATATATCACACAAGACATTTATAAGCTAAGGAAAATAGGGCAAGAAAATCCTGATGAGGCTACCTAAGCTGGTAACGAAACGTTCAGAAACTAAACTGAAACAAGCTTGGAGAGCAAACCACTGCCAAAAATCTGAAACCTGAGCCACAAGCATTTTCTATTATTTCAAGGTACATATCTACCCCTACACATACATAACACACATATACACAGTCTGTAGACATACACACATACCTATATTAAGCAGGTGACCTTGGGGGATTATGAGTTAATAGAACAGGAGATTTGCTCGTCCAGACTTGCTGCCTTCTGGATGATTCAGCTAAAAAGCAAATGAGAGGAGAGGTCAGATGAGAAACTGGATCTAAGCCGACAAACCAAGAGCCACGTGGGGGAAAGTGGCTGATCCAGGAGATTTTAGTCTCTGCTCAGCCACGGAGGGGTCTGCTTGGGGGGCTTTAATTCTCAGCTCAATTTACTTCCCAGGGCTGCTGTTTTGGGGGGAAAGTGGGTGGAAACAGGGCTGGGTATGTTGCTTTGAGCTCCTGAATGGAATACAGGAGAGAAACCCAATAAATGCAGGAAGTTCTCGACTTACGACTTACGAATTTCTGTTGCTAAGCAAGGCGGTGAAGTGAGCCATGCCTGATTGAACAAGTTTTTTTGACTGTGGTTAGTAAGCCAATCACTACAGTTGTTAAATGAAAGACACCGCTGTTATGCCAACCCAGCTTCCCCCCTTTGACTTCGCTGGCTGGGAAGATCACGAGGGGCGATCCCGTGATCCTGGGATGCTGGAACCGTCATCAATACAGGGTTTCCAAATGCCCGGAATTTGGATCACGTGACCACGGGGATGCTAGGACATTCATAAGGGCTAGGACCGGTTTGTGAGTCACGGTTTTCCAGTGCTGTTGTGACCTCAAGTGGTCCCTAAAAAAATTGTTGTAAGTCAAGGACCAAAGCTGGTATAGAAAACAACCTGGATTAAACCCTGATTAAGAGAAACTCACAGAAATGCAGGGCGTGAGATGAGACATCTGTGTCCCTCCAGAAGCTGTTCCCCGGGGGGGGGGTCATGCTGGTTGGGGATAATGGGCTATATACTCCAGGCCGCTTCAAAGGATATGGGTTTCCTTCACTTTGGGTGGGAGATGATGGAAGCTTGTACCACGTCATTCCTGCCCTTCTCCTTCCTGTAAACTGCGAGGGGTTGAGGCACCAGGTTAGGAAGTAGGAGCCTGGGAATTCTAGTCCCACCTTAGGCATGAAAGATGATAGGGTGACTGGGGGCCAATTAGCAGGAGATGGTGAATTCTAATCCTGCCTTAGGCATGAAAGCCGGTTGGGAGACTTGGGGCCAATCACCAGGAGACTGTGAATTCTAGTACCACCTTAGGTATGAAAGCTAATTGGGTAACTTGGGGCCAATCAGCAGGAGAGGGTGAGTTCTAGTCTCGCCTTAGGCATGAAAGCCAATTGGGTGACTTTGGGCCAGTCACTAGGAGACTGTGAATTCTAGTTCCACCTTAGCCCATGAAAGCCAGCTGGGTGACTTTGGGCCAGTCTCTCTCTTTCAGCCCACCTCACAGGGTGGTTGTGGTGGGGTACATAAGAGGAGGGACGTCTGTGGGATATGTTTGCCCCCTTGAGTTATTTGTAAAAATAATCCAAAGTGGGATACAAATAAATAAATTAAAGGCTACAAAAAACTCACTTTCTTCTTTCTTCTCTTGCTCTTAGCAGTCCAGCAGCGTCTCATTCTTCACTTCCTGCTCATCCTCCTCCTTCCGCCATGGGCACTCCTGCTCCGCCTCAGCAGCCTGGCTTGATGGCCCAGATGGCTACCACAGCAGCAGGGGTGGCTGTTGGCTCCGCCGTGGGCCACGTGGTCGGTGGCGCTCTCACGGGGGCATTCAGTGGCGACAGCAGCTCCTCCCAGCCCACGAAAGTGGCCAGCAGCTCTGTCCAGGTGAGGCTCAGATGGACAAACCCCAGGCCCCGTTCCCACGATGTGGGTAAAATGGAGTTGGGTCAAAGGCCTGGCGGGTGGTCTTCACACACCATGAAATCCTCGAGTAGCGTTTGCAAGGTCTGTGTCGCGGTTCCGACTGGCGAACCCCAACCAAGCAAGCACCTTCCAGACGATCCAATCTTTGGATGCCAAAACTTTATTGAGTACATCATTTCGGCATCGATGAAAGCAAAACCAGCTCTGGCAAAAAAATTCAGGTCACGTTGCCCAATTAAGTGCTGAACTATGGTTATGAGAAAGTGTCTCTTGAGTTTGGCCAGACATCTGGTGAACTGTCCTTGGTTCTCAGGGTCTGACTTCTTGGTCTCTGGAGTCCGCGTTCCATTTCCCTTCCCTCCCCCCACCGCCCTCAAGTTTGTTGGCAAATGGAGAAGCAAAATCATGCTTCGAACTTGACAGTCTGCTTTGGGGGGATCATCCCAAAGAGGGAATTGTAGGAAAGGAGGAAGGGATGTGGGGAGGTGGTTCTTGTGGTGGAGATGCTGGACCTGAACGGGGGGGGGGTGTCTCAGAGAAGGTGCTTGGGGGATCTTGAGCCAGTCCTTCCTGTTCAGCCCAAGAGCCATCTTGATGGAGTGGTAAAGCTCTTTTGCCGTTTCCTAAATGACATAAGAGTGGGAGCCCCATAAATCCTGGTGGGAACTCATGGAACTGATGTAAAGAATGACAACTACACTCAATAGGTAGTCCTCAACTTACGGCCATTCGTTTAACAACCGTTTGAAGCTACAACACTAGAAGCAACTTATGGCCAATAACCATCTTATCTGACCTGATCTAAGCCTGTTGTACAGGTAGTCCTCAACTTACAACAGTCCATTTAGTGGCCATCCAAAGTTACAACGGCGCTGAAAAAAAGTGACTTGTGACTGTTTCCCCCCCCCCATTTAACGACCGTGATCAAAATTCAGATGCTTGGCAACTGACTGATATTTATGACTGTTGTGGCATCCCAAAGTCACGCAATCCGCTTTTGTGACTTTCTGACAAGCAAAGTCAGTGGGGAAGCCGGATCCACTTAACAGCCGTGTTCCTAATTTAAGAATTGCCGTGGCAAGAAAGGTCGTAAGATGGGGCAAAACCCCACTAACCGTCTCGCTTAGCAACGTAAACGTGGGGCTCAGTTATGGCCGTATGTTGAGGACTACCTACATGACCAAATGATCTGCGCTTACCTCGGGAGGTTTAATGTCTCTTCTTGACTGTCTCCAGGAGTCCAGGCAGATACCAACCCATCAGTCATCCCAGTATGGACCTTGCCTGTATGAGATGAGGCAGTTCCTGGATTGTGCTACTAACCAGAATGACTTGACCTTGTGTGAGGGCTTCAACGAGGCCTTGAAGCAATGCAAGCAAGCCAGCGGTGAGTGTTACTGTGCTGGAGAAGAAAGGAGACATGTTGAAGTTGCAGGAGTCTAGTTGCCCCAAAAAAAGCTGAAAAGGCATCAGCTTTGATGAGCTGCATCTCACTTTATCAGATCCCCGAAACAGCTAGACTGATGGAGGATTTAAATTAGGTGCATGGGTGGGCAATTGAGGGGTTAAGGCCTCTGCAGAGTACATTAGAGACATCACAAGGACCTGACCCCCTAATAATTTTTTAGAAGGTTGTGCTTCTGGAGACCTTTTGTGGTGACCTTGAACCCATCTCTCCCTCCAGGGTGGTTTTAAAGTCTCTCTTACCCCCACATGGTCATTTTTAGATCTGCGGTGGAGATTGAAATGCTCTGATATGATCCTTGCCAGGAATTCCATATATAGCAACAGCACTTAGACTTATATACCGCAGACTCTCCTCCTGTTGATGGCCAAGCAACAGTGAGTCAGATGTTCACCACCAGCCAGGACTTTAATTGTCCTTCCTTCTTTCTCCCTCTTTCAGTTTTCCAAATAAAGATATGAAATATTAGAACCCTGCTTTACAGGGCAGAAATTCCATTTATGTTACCTGTCCATCCTTTGGTGCAATCCAGGGCTCTGTTCAGCCAGTATGACTCCATCGTTTTTTTGAAAAACGTCTTGCAGGTTGAGGCCAACATGTCATGTCTTTCTTTCGCAGGTGTGACTTCCCTCTTGTGAAGAAATGAGAAAGGTCAACCCTAAGCGACAAAAGGATCCTAACGGGGACAAAGAGAATTAGCAGAGAATCTGACCAGCTCAACCTGGTTTTCTCAGATGTAGATTTATAAGCAAGGAAAGGTTTTAAATGCAAGGATAAATTGATTTTTGTACAGAGGAAAGTCAAATAAAAGCAGATGGTTTATTTAAAGCTAGCACCTGAGTGCGTGTCTCTGTTTGTTTAAGGCCTTATGAATTGAACTAATGTGTGACGATTCTTTAAAAGAGGGATATATAGCCAAAACAAGTCAGTCCCAAGATTTGAGTCTGAAGATCTTTTGAAGGATGCTTCTAGTGGACATTTCTCCAAATTGATGTCCTTTGGGCAGAGTGGATTATAAAACTCATAATTCCAGCTGAAAGTGTCATGTTTAGGAAGAGGATTATGGTTTAGATCGGGGTGGGGAGCTAGGGCTCTTTTATGACCTGTGAACTTCAACTCCCAGAATTCTTGAGCCAGCATTCAATTCAAGTCCACAAGTCATAAAGGGTGCCGTAGTTCCCCACCTTGGTTTAGAGTTAGACCATCTGGAGGACATTAGCTTGGACAAAGCTGTTTCCTAAGATTTTGGTGGACATGTTGGGCTACGTGAATTCAGGTCCAAATCATTGCACAGTCTATAAACAAGCCATATGATGGCTTAGAGCAGTGGTTCTCAACCTTTCTAATGCCACGACCCCATAATACAGTTCCCCATGTTGTGGTGACCCCCAACCACTTATACATCATCAGGTGCCAGGGGCGTGGCCAAAGAAAAGGAAAAAAATGGCAGACAGCCTTGTTTGGCGACCCCTGTGAAATGGTTGTTCGACCGCAAATGGGGTCCCGACCCACAGGTTGAGGACCACTGGCTTAGAGTGAGCCATGGATCCAGCTGAGAGCACTTCCTGGCATTCTCCTTTTCCAATTTTGCAAGAGATGGGAATTGAAGATGGTGGGATTGACCAACTCATTAACCAAGAGTGTGCGGTAACGGAACTTAGAGAGAAGCGGTCCACTTAGACCCATGAGTTGGAGGTTCTCAGTTTCTCCAGTACATATTTTCTGTTGTGGAAGAGAATGGTCATTGTTGATAGGACCTAGAGGAGCAAACGGTTGGTAAATGGTGGACTTCAGATGTGGAAGGTGACAGGGAAAGGCAGAGAGATATTCAGCTTAACTGTATGACCCTTAATGGTCTTAATTTAGATCTTAGCTTGTTTATATAAAGCATGCAAAGTCTTTAGTGTCAGGCTAAGTCTGCCAATGCTGACCTGGACCTTGGAGATTAACGCTCACAGTCCACCAAGGATGATGCAACCTTGAAAAATGATATCTTAATTCAACACAATGGGTGTCCCTTCATTCTCCAAATTGGGGTCTGTGCAAAACCTGGTTCGTGAGTGGTCATTTGGTTATTTCACAGAACAGAAAGGTCTTCCTATTCCTTGGTGATCACACAACCTGTTTTTGCCTCCTTCTTCTAAATGCAAACATTTGAAGGCTTTCATTTGCAGAAGTAGCCTGCATCGCTTTGTGTTTTTTTAAAACATTTTTATGGGGACTGGTTAGCTCTCCATCTTTATAGCTGCTTCTGAATTCCAAGCTTTCGTGTGTGTGTGTGTGTGTGTGTGTGTGTGTGTGAGAGAGAGAGAGAGAGAGAAGAAATAGAAGGAAAGAAAATAAAAATAGGAATGAATGAAGGAAAAAGAAATGGAAAGGAAAAAAAGGAAAGAAAGAAAAGAAAAGTTCCCTACTACTTCAACTACCTTTATCATCAGGGATGTGCTGGTAAACCTTTAGCAAGAGGCTCTACCCACTGTGCTTCATTGCCAGCTGCCAAACAGCTGATGGATGCTACAGCTATGGGAGGGGGGGGGCAACCATACTTTCCCAAAAAATTAACAACAGGCTGTCATGAACCGACACAGGCAGGCTATAGGACACCGCTGGTAACCCACCCTTATTAATGCTTTCCTATAGTTTGGGGAAGTTATATGCAAATACCCCAGGGGGAGGGGTTCATTTGCATACTTTTTGGGGGTTAGGATGTCTGGTCTATAATTAGTTGTATTTTCAATGTTCTCTACCATTGCCAACAAATCAACATTTTCATCAGAGATAGACACCAAAGGTGTTTTTTTTTTTTTTAAAAAAAATAAAATTAGAGATCGTCAACTTTGCAAACCTGATTTCTAACATGACCCTGCTAGCATCCTCATTCTTGCTTCTGACGCTCCTGATAGCAAAGACTTTGGGTAATATTTTATGCCCAAACACCAAGCTTGGGCTGCAAATTGCTTCTGTGGGTTACCATGGTGGGGTGGTACTATGAGGGAGAGGGGATGAATGCAGGTTAAATTAATTGCCGTTGGATTCTTCTTGGAACTGGCCGAGTTTAAGCCACAATCAGCTGGTCCCATTAGGGATTGACAGACAGACAGAACCCCTTCGTGCAGATGGTGGTTTGGGCAGAATATACCTGGTAAGGGGCTTGCAGCATAAAGAAGAAACAAGCTACAGGAAGGACGGAAAAGAGAATAAAAACGTGATGGGTGGGCAAAGGGACCTGTCTGTCCTTCAAAGCAAGCCAGATGAGAACAGAGAATCCACGAGTTTGACAAACTCTACTTTGTTGATAGAGGTTGACTCCGGAAACCACAGATATTTTTGCTGCAAGTCCCAAGAGAGGAAACCCTTGGTTGATCTGAATGTCTGTTTGATTCATTCAAGCTGAAGAGCCTCAACTCAAGCCAAGATAGTGATTCAAAAGCTTTGCCATCAGGAGGAGCTCTAAGATCAAAAACCAGATTCTGGCTCTTCAGAGGATCTTGCTAGGTCCAGAACTAGGTTCCTAAGCTTTGGGAAGATCTACATCAACTGGCAGAAATGAATCCACTGTCCTCTTCCTGCTGAGGTGGGTGGTATCTGCTGAATACCCTGGAACTATAAGATGTAAAATACAACATATAACACTCTAAGTGGACCTTTGGCTGCCTGTTATATTAGCAGCATGGAGGACCTCAACAGGATTGGTATCAATAGTCAACTGAAGCCAGAACTTTTCCTTTTAGGACTGATAATGTTAGAAAAAAGCCATGGAAGATTTTTTTTCAATACGTGATTACTGCATTGAGATTTTTATATGCACAGAGATGGAAACCTTAGAGCAGTGTTTCCCAAACTTGACAATTTTAAGGCATGTGGACTTCAACTCCCAGAATTCCACAGCCAGCGTTGCTGGCTGTGGAATTCTGGGAGTTGAAGTCCTCATGCCTTAAAATTGTCAAGTTTGGGAAACACTGCCTTAGAGGAATAGTGGAGGAGAGATCTTGCTGAGATGGATAAATTAACTTCTTTGATTAGAGAAAAAACACTAGCTACATTTTTTAGTAGCATAAAAAAAAAATCCAGGAATATATCATTTCCATGGCAAACAGACCTCAAGGGGAAGGTGTTTATATCCTGCAGTTGGGCCAATGGGGAGATTATTAGATGCTAATTAGGGAAATCAGAGATGACTTTTCAGTTGTTTGCGTACAATTTTATAAAAAAAAATCCTCTTTGGGATTCCCAAATATTCCTCCAGAGATCTGTACAATAATAAAAGAAAGTTCACAACATCCTCAAACTCTCGCTAGTGACAAAAGGGATGAATACCCGATACTATCTCTTTTTATTGTTTACATTTATTTGTTAAATTTACTCGCCAAGAGCCTGTTCCATTAGAATGCAGGCAGGTGTACAGTTGAAACTGAAACCCAGTTTTGCTAATAAGGACAGGGAAGAGCGAAAAACAGCAGATGTATCTCTAAGGCAGTGGTTCTCAACCTTTTTAATGCCCCGACCCCCAACCGGTCGTAAGTCGAGGACTACTCAACCGGTCGTAAGTCGAGGACTACTCAACTGGTGCAGCACCGTTTGCAGACTGGGGCTTTTGGCGGGCTCAGCCTGGACAATTCCTATTGGCTTTTGAAAGCCAATAGAATTAGACTCTATTCAAGAGAGTCTATTCTATTGGCTTTCAAAAGCCAATAGAATAAAAGCACAGCTAAGGAAAAGGGGAAAAAATGGCGGACTGCGTTGTTTGGCGACCCCCGTGAAATGGTCGTTCGACCCCAAATGAAGTCCCGACCCACAGGTTGAGAACCACTGCTCTAAGGGGTCAACTGAAAACAAAACAGTTAAATGCATTTCGATTGCATTTGGAAATCTTCAGTTCCAATGGTGAAGAGAAGGATTTATATTCCTTGTAGAGAGCTGGTCATTTGCCTTCTTTCAGAGAGTTGCAGAAGCCAAGAAGGCTCCACACACACATTTGCACTACTTGGGTGACCCTGAGGACAGGGTTGTCCCTTTTAAAGCAGGCATGAAATGAGAAGAGGGCCTTCTTGTGAGGAAGACAATTCAGGGTCCGTCAGAGTAGACCTATACTCAGAAGATCCATTTCTAAAACTATTTCTTTCACTGTTGCTGGCTTCAAAAGCCATTAAAAAAAATTATAAAGCCTTTGAGCAAAATTCTTTGACCCACAAACACTCCACTCCAGGAAGGAAGTGGAGATTTGCATAAAGGACATCTTTTTCTGGCCCTCACAAGACTTTAAATGAGAAGAATGGGAGAACTTGGCTAAGCTGCTCTGATCTCAGTTCATCACCATGGCATTGACTTGCTATGGAGTCCTCGCTGTCTTACTTTCTTGCTTTGGTGAGCATGGGAAGGGTTGAAGTTGTAGGGGCACATTAAAAAAAAAAAACACGGAGTTGTTTGTGTCATGGTTTTAGCCAGGAATTTTTCCTCAGTTTTCCAAAGCAGTGTTGGAGAACCAGTGGTGAAGGTGCTGGGTTAGAAACTGGGATATCTTTTGGTCTGGTCCAGCTAAGTGGACCAGTCATTCCCTCTTAGCCCAATCTACTTCACACGGTCATGACTGGGAAAATACAAGGAGGAAGTCTTATCTATGTCCTTCTTATTATTATTTCCCCTTCTTTGTCTTCTTCTCCATCTCCTTCTCCTCCTCTTTTATTATGAAAAAATCTCCTCCTCCTCCCCTTCTTCTTCTTCTTCTTCTCCTTCTCCTTCTCCTTCTTCTTCTTCTTCTCCTCTTCTCCTTCTCCTTCATTCTTTCCAGGTGCCTTCTCCCAGGCTCAGGTGACTCAAAGTGATCCCGTTTCA